ATCAGGTAGGCAGGTTTAAGGCACATTAACCATGTTTATTTTTGTATCATGTTAAAAATAAAGCTATTCAACCAAAAAGCCATTAAGAATCTACTTCTATAAAGCAATTTTCTGGCTACTTTGAGGGGAAGATAAATGACATAAAAACCTCCATTTTCATGGAGATTGTGAAAGTCTAAAAGAGATGAAACTTTTCAATTATTTAGATTTTGATTTACATGTGAGGAATTTATTTGCAGTTTCCAGAAAATAAATTAACCTTAAAGTTGTCTTTTTTCTTTAAAGATTTTTGTTTATTTTTATTTATTTGAGAGGTAGAGTTACAGACAGTGAGAGGGAGAGACAGAGAGAAAGGTCTTCCTTCCATTGGTTCACTCCCCAGATAGCTGCAACGGCCGGAGCTGTGCTGATCTGAAGCCAGGAGCTTCTTCCAGGTCTCCCATGCGGGTGCAGAGGCCCAAGGGCTTGGGCATTTTCTACTGCTTCCCCAGGCCATTAGCAGAGAGCTGGATTAGAAGACTAGAACTGGTGCCCATATGGGATGCCAGTGCTACAGATGGAGGATTGACCTACTGCACCATGGCACCAACCCCTTAAAGTTGTCTTAGCAACTGTACTTAGTCTGAACTTGTTTCCACATGGGATAAGAAAGTGATTATGGCATTGGGGTGAGCAGTATTGTGGGTGAAATTTTGAATAGATGTACAGAATTGGAAGTGAAAATTGGGTGAGTCTGTCTCTTTTTTGATGTTGTGCTTAAAATATCTTTTTGTTGGCCAGCGCCATGGCTCACTAGGCTAATCCTCTGCCTGCGGCGCCAGCACACCGGGTTCTAGTCCTGGTTGGGGCGCCGTTGCTTTCCTGGTTGCTCCTCTTCCAGTCCAGCTCTCTGCTGTGGCCCAGGAAGGCAGTGGAGGATGGCCCAAGTGCTTGGACCCTGCACCTGCATGGGAGACCAGGAAAAGCACCTGGCTCCTGGCTTTGGATTGGCGCAGCGTGCCGGCCGTAGCGGCCATTTGGGGGGTGAACCAATGGAAAAAGGAAGACCTTTCTCTCTGTCTCTCTCTCTCTCTCACTAACTCTGCCTGTCAAATATATATATATCTTTTTGTCCAGCTTAAGAGAAATAAACTAATCAAATGATGTCTTTTGTGTTTGGCGTAAAATTGCCCTTCTTCTCATCCAAGTATATGATAGAGCAATAAGTTGGAGCAGTCCCACGAACGCCCATTAAATAACCCATTTTTCATGACTGGGATTTTTGTCTTGGCAGTTAAGACACAGACTAGAAAGCCCAGATTTCACCCTTAGCCTGAAAAAAAAAGTCATGGGTTTGAGTAAGGGAAGGGCAGCAAGCCTAAAAGTTGATGCTCCCTCTTCAGTCTCTAGGCCCTTCTGTGCAGAGAAGTGTTTTGCTAAGACTCAGACAGAATTCATCTCCATAGAACGTTCTTAATGGCTCCTGTCAGAACAGAACAGCTGGGAAACATATGGTATCCATTTCCCTGTATCACTTGGAAAAAATTTCACATGTAAATAAAGCCAACATGAAAGGGTAGCCCTTTGAACCCATGACCTGATACAATACATAAATACATGGGTACAATGCTCTCATTGTATTGACCCACTAAGTTATGTGGCCTTAAATTTTTTATTACATTCCGAGATGCACATTTTCTAGAAGTTCCAAAGAAATCAAGGTAATTGGCAAGATATTAGCAAATACCAGACCTAATAAATACGTTCTTCAAACATCCGTGAATATAAAATGTTTTCCTCACTATAAAGTTTTGCAGAAAGCTGATGAATACAGTTGAAGCATATTTGTGCCTTATAAACTCTATGTCCACTATCTCTCTGCTGTTTTAAGTAAGTAATCATGTGTTCTTAAAAGGCAGGGAAAAAAGCTTGGCAGAACTTACTGGCAGACGTTAATTTTTCATAGTTTCACATCTTAGATAGAGAAAAGGACATAGAAAAGTTAGGACACTTCTGAATCTCTAAGGGGACAACAGGAATTAGTTGTTTTTGCCTTTGCATGTTTAGACTTTATGAAAAACCTCAGAAATGTTTGCTCTTACTAGCGGTTCTCACTCCTCTGAGTTTGCTAGCAGGACTTCCATCCCCTGTGAAATTAGGATGAGGATCCCCCAGAAGGATGTTCTTTGTGATTTTTCAAAGATTGAAAGTGCGGGGCCGGTGCTGTGTCACACCAGGTTAACGCCCTGGCCTGAAACGCCGGCATCCCATATGGGCACTGGTTTGAGACCCGGCTGCTCCACTTCTGATCCAGATCTCTGCTGTAGCCTGGGAAAGCAGTAGAAAATGCCCCAAGTCCTTGGGCCCCTGCACCTTCATAGGAGTCCTGGAAGAAGCCCTTGGCTCCTGGCTTTGGATCGGCACAGCTCCAGCCGTTGCGGCCATCTGGGGAGTGAACCAGCGGATGGAAGACCTCTCTCTCTCTCTCTCTCTGCCTGTCCTCTCTCTGTGTAACTCTGACTTTCAAATAAATAAATAAATCTTTAAAAAAAAAAAAAGATTGAAAGTGCCATGCTAAGTGAGATTGAAACTCGCATTCTAGCATTTGTTGATTGCTCTGTGCCAGGCACTGTGTGAATCAGAGTCGACAGGAGGGAAGAGGAGTGTGACCTGCCACCATCCACATGCCTGCTACCTTCCGAAGCATTCCCGTACACGTTGCTTACTGCAGGGAATGAGCCCTCACTGCACAGGTCACAGTAGTCCCTTTCTAAACTCTGAAAGGCCTTGGTGGTGGCCCCCATAGTGCAGACCCTCTGGAACCCCAGGCCAAAGTTAGTCCCTCTGGGAGAAAGAACTCATTGAGAGTTACATAGCATTCAGGTCCACAGCCGACGACCCCAGCTTGATTCCAGAACTTCTCTGAATCCCAAGCACACATCCTAGCAGGAAGGAGAGTGACCAGCCGCCTAAATTTAGGGGACTTTAATAAGGTGCACTTTCAACCCAAGAGTCACTCGTGGCCTGGGCCTGTGCAGAAGTTGTAGACCTGAGTACATACATACCCTTGGTGTGTTCTTCTCTTCTTTCTGTGAGCCCCCATAGCAAAGAACACACAAGTACACGTGTGTTGGTGAACATGTCCCACCTGCTGCTGCACCAGAGAGGGGAGAGGGACCAGAGGGCCCACTGGAGGCCATGCTCTGAAATCCAGCCCGGTGGTGGGGAATGAAGCAAAGGAAGTAGCAGGGAGTAGAAGCCCATAAAGTAGGGTCCTGGGTCAGAGGAGTGGCCCAGGGGCCGGGGGCCCTCTCCTGTGACACCAACTGGGAGAGTGGTGATTCTTTCTCTTCCACGTGTGTCTGACTGTCTCACTTCCCTCTCCATCTCAAGCAAACAACACTTGATCTTTATCTAAACTTTGCAGAGAAAGCAGCAGCACACAATGCTGCCTGTCCCATCCTCCCTTCCCCAGTGTGTTCTCCTGGTGTTTCCGGCTTTCCCAACAGTGCAGGGCAGCATTAAATCTTAAAGAGGATGCCTTTAGTGCATTGTGTTGCTGAGCCATGCGCCAAAACGAAACGAAACAAAAACCCCTGTGTGGTGGCTGACCAGGGTGCCTAGACAAGGATGGCTGTGTGGATGAGTGTGCACACCTCTCTTTTCTCCCTAAATCAGTGTGGATTAATACAGAGAATCCTACCTCTACTCCTATTTTCCAAAGTGGTAGCACATGATGAAATCCTGCCCGGAATATAGATCCTAAATGTATGTCTGCTTTTACCGTTATTACTACTACTAATTAAAATTTTTAAGATTTATTTATTTTGCCGGCGCTGCAGCTCAATAGGCTAATCCCTCTGCCTGTGGCGCCGGCACAGCGGGTTCTAGTCCCGGTCGGGGCGCCGGATTCTGTCCCGGTTGCCCCTCTTCCAGGCCAGCTCTCTGCTGTGGCCCGGGAATGCAGTGGAGGATGGCCCGGGGTCCTTGAGCCCTGCACCCACATGGGAGACCAGGAAAAGTACCTGGCTCCCGGCTTCGGATCAGCGCGGTGCACCAGCCGCAGCGCGCCAGCTGCAGCAACCATTGGAGGGTGAACCAACGGTAAAGGAAGACCTTTCTGTCTCTCTCACTGTCCACTCTGCCTGTCAAAAAAAAAAAAAAAAAGATTTATTTATTTTATTTGAAAGTCAGGGTTTCACAGAAAGAGGAGAGGCAGAGAGGCGGGGGTGGGGGGAGGTCTTCCATTCAATGGTTCACTCCCCAGTTGGCCGCAGTGGCCGGAGCTGTGCTGATCCAAAGCCAGGAGCCAGGAGTCTCCTCCCGGTCTCCCACGCGGGTGCAGGGGCCCAAGGACTTGGGCCATCTTCTACTGCTTTCCCAGGCCATAGCAGAGAGCTGGATCAGAAGTGGAGCAGCCAGGTCTTGAACCAGCGCCCATATGGGATGCTGGCACTTCAGGCTAGGGCGTTAATCCGCTGTACCACAGCACCAGCCGCACTACTAATTAAATTTTAAAGATTAATTTGTTTGAAAAGTAGAACGATAGAGAAATCTTCCATCTGCTGTTTGCTCCCCAAATGCCCGCAACTGCCAAGGCTGGACCAAAGATGCTATCCAAGAACTCCATCCAGGTCACCTGTGTGAGCCACAGGGACTCCCATACTTGAACCATTATCTACTGTCCCTCAGGCCTCCCAGCAGGACCCTGGATCAGAAGCAGAGAGGCTGGGGGCGGAACCAGGCATCCAATATGGGGTGCAGGCATCCCGAGCAGCGGCTGAAGCTGCCGTGCCACACGTGCCCACTCCTACTTTGAGTCACCAATGTCAGAACTTTCTCCTGCCTTTAGCAGTCATCCAGTGCCAAGGATGAATTGTTGGAAGTATGTGCTCTCAAAGCCAGGCCCCTACACAGGGGCTGAACTTGAACCTCCCTTGAGTAGAGGTTCTGCATGCATGGTCAAGGTGTGTTTGGCATTCCAGTTTAATGGTGTCCCCTTTTAACCTTTCCATGAACAGTTTCCGGCTCTGGCTGGAATTGTGGCGTCTCAACTCTTATTACCAACACACAGAAGCCCACCGGGATCGCCGATGTATATAGCAAGTTCCGCCCGGTGAAACGGGTTTCCCCACTGAAACACCAGCCGGAGACCCTGGACAGCAATGAAAGCGATGATCAAAAGAACCAGAAGGGGGACCTCCAGAAAGGGGGTGATTCTGATGCAGGCCCCCAGCCTGAGGAGCTGGGCCCCGAAGAGGGAGTCGGGGGCCTGCCTGGGAAGGGCTCGGAGCCCAGCCCGGCGCTGGGCGAGCTGGAGCACTATGACCTCGACATGGATGAGATCCTGGATGTGCCTTACATCAAGTCCAACCAACAGCTTGCCTCTTTCAGCAAGGTGGCTTCAGACAAAAGGATTTTGGGTTTATGCACGACCATCAACGGCCTCGCCACCGGCAAAGCCTGCTGTGCAGGAGGTGCCGAGAACCCACCACCCACCACAACGCCCTTCTGTGTCCTGTCTCCCGTGAAAAGCCCTCACCTGAGAAAAGCATCCACTGCCATCCGCGATCAGCACAAGCTGGGCCCGGAAGAATCTGAGAGCGCGCCCGCTCTGGTTTCTTGTGTCTCTGCGTATGAGCCTGAGACCCAGAGCAGAGACTTCCCAAACAAGGCCTTCGCAGAACCACATGGCGGAAAGGCCGAGAAGGCACTGCCCGACTGCCAGCTCCGGGCCTTCCGCCTGCCGTGCTCGGCCGCAGAAGCCACGCTGGAGGAGCAGGTCAACGGCGTGAGCTGGCCCACTTGCCAGGGCCCCGAGGAGAAGACTGAGCACCAGAAGAAAGTCAAGAGCATCCTGAACATTGTCAGAGAAGGGCAGATCTCGCTCCTGGTGAGTAGCCGCTCGCGTGGCAAGCGCCTTCCTGATCTCAAGACTGTCTTTATCAGCTCCGCTTGTTAGGAACGGACTGATGGTGCAGCTGTTTGGCTTCTTGCTTAATCTGTGGCTTGCTTTGGGTGAGAGATGTGTCCCATTGCATTTTTAAATAAGAAGTCTGGAGGTTAACCTTTCATACAGAACAATAATTTTCTTCTTAGCCAAACTGAAATTTGCATGAATTCTGCTGGAGTAAAGGCTCTTAATCTAAGACAAAAACAACCCAGAGCCAGCACGATCTTGTTTCTCAGGTGGTCCTGAATGCTCTCACTGTTTGGGGGATGTCAGTTCCTCGCTGGTGGTGGACCTGCCAGATACGTGAACAGAGCCTCTTCTGTTTGATCCTGGCCACTGTGCAGAAGAGGTGGACCGGGGTGTTTGAGGAGTGTCTGCAGATAGAGGCTCACCCCACAGCTGGCCTGCCTGCTGACCCCCAGGGATTTGTCACTCAGTTCCAGGTCTCCTCTTCTAGAGAGGCTCCCCCAAGGATTCTAGACGTTGGTGTCCGAAAAAATCTTTTCCGCTTAGGCTCCCAAACTGAGACAGCATTGATGTACCTACATCGTCCCTTAGCTGCTTCCAGACTTGGATCAAACAGCAGCGAGCCCGGGCACACACTGGGATGCTAATCAGAGTCTCATTCAGGAGAATCATGGCACCTTGGCAGTGGGATTCTGCTGAGTGTAAGCCGTACAGAGATTAAGTACAGCGTGCTTGGTCTGTAAAAACAAGTGGTCTTGTAATAGGGCAATATGACTGAACAACTTTACCAAATCATTTTTCTTTCTCCTGAAAAAGTCTTTTTCCATTGTCCCCTCTCACTCTCTTTGGTCCTTGCCCTGTTTCCCTGTTTCCTGAGTGTTAACCCCTCCATTCACACCCCATTGCTGTCCACCTGTCACACCCATGGGACCTGACTTCACTAGAGGTGAGAAAACCAAAGGCCAGGGAGCCTCCAGTTGCCTCAGAGTTGCGGGGAGGGGCTGTGTCCCAGGTGCCCACCACAGCGCAAGTAGAAGCAGGCGTTTTGTAGTCTGCAGTCCAGCCAGCTCTGCAGTTCCTGGCCAGCTTAACACCTGCAGTGGGGAATGAAACCCAGCCCCTAGGCCAGCACCGCAGCTCAATAGGCTAATCCTCCACCTTGCGGCGCCGGCACACCGGGTTCTAGTCCCAGTCGGGGCGCCAGATTCTGTCCCGGTTGCCCTTCTTCCAGGCCAGCTCTCTGCTGTGGCCAGGGAGTGCAGTGGAGGATGGCCCAAGTGCTTGGGCCCTGCACCCCATGGGAGACCAGGAGAAGCACCTGGCTCCTGCCTTCGGATCAGCACACTGTGCTGGCCGTAGCACACCGGCTGCGGTGGCCATTGGAGGGTGAACCAATGGCAAAGGAAGACCTTTCTCTCTGTCTCTCTCTCACTGTCCACTCTGCCTGTTGAAAAAAAAAAAAAAAAAAGAAAGAAACCCAGCCCCAGCCCTCAAGGACTTTGTCCAGACGTAGAGGAGACAGACAAGAAGCCTGCCAATTAATGTCATTGCACTTGGTTGCAAAGCCAGCCAGCTCACCGGCCCTGCCCTGGTGCCGGGTCTGACGTGAGGAGCAGTCTCACGGGAACTCATGACCTAAAACATGTCCTACCAGCAAACAGCAGGCAACTCTGACTTGCCAGGTACCCGTGCCGCCCGCACGGCCCATGTCTTCTGCCCGGTGCCCGCGGCATCTGGTCCTCAGTTTTCTCATCTCGCTCTTCGCCAGCCACACCTCGCCGCAGACAACCTGGACAAGATTCACGACGAGAACGGGAACAACCTGCTGCACATCGCCGCCTCGCAGGGCCACGCCGAGTGCCTGCAGCACCTCACCTCCCTCATGGGGGAAGACGGCCTCAATGAGCGCAACGCGGGCAAGCTGACCCCCGCGGGCCTGGCCATCAAGGTGAGCATGGGGACTGGGCACTCTGCCGCCGAGAGCTGCTTCCCAGGAGTCCTCGGGGGCTTCAGGGTAGGAAGGGGGCGGGGGGCGCTGTATCACACATACAGCAAGTGAGCGTGGGTCTCCCGCGTCACTGGTGCTTTGAGGTTTGGAGACTGTACTCCAGTTTACTGTCCAACGAGGGTCAGATCTAAATCGGCTAAGAAAGAAGCGGGAGAGTGGTCAGGGGGGTTCTCGTCCTCAGCATGGCTATGATTTGGATTCTCACCCACACCTGGTTCTGTTTGGTCTTTTCCCTGATATGAGAAGACTGAGCGAGGGAAAGGCGCACTGGAAGGGTTATAGGCACTGCAGCTTTTGAGCTGATAAAGTGGGCTTTTGACAGATCCCATCCCAAGCTGTAACGTCCTCAGTGTCACTTGTGCGAAGTTTGAGTGTCGCTTTTGAGTTTAGCTCTCGGGGAACACGGTTTGCTGTCAACAACTGCACACATCAGTGCTAACCTCTGGTTAAAACCTAAAACCTGCACGCACACGGACGTGGCAGTGCGGCTCATGGTCCTGGAGGGAGTGCCTCTAACATCTAGCACATCACGGGGAGGTTAGCTGTTAAACCAAGATTACTTTTAAGATCTTTGGCAAATAAATGCAGAATTCAGTCATCTTTATTAAAAAGCCAGAAGTGACGTTCAGGGAAATAGAATACATCTGGTGCTTCTACATTGCTGTTTTGCTTGACATAAAAGGTGTGCCTTCTACAAGCTGTGTGATCATAATTTTTATAGATGGGATTATGTTGAAACTGGGGAAACTTGCTGGTTAAAGAACTCTGCTTGTGAATTTGTGAGAAAACATGTTACATCTGAAAAGCAATCAGTTGCTATCTGAACCCTAATATATCTTATATGCGCGGCTGAATTTTATATCTTTAATTTGTTCACCAGTCAGTAAAGTTCTATATGTTTAAAAAGTTTCCTCTTTTAAATCTTGGCTCAGTGGCAAGGTAGAGCTTCCACAATGGTGCAGAAGCTAATCATTTTATAAAACAGGAAAGTGATGATGTTGGTGGACGTTGTTTTCCTCTGCTTGTGAATCTTACATCAAGTTTAGAGCTACAGTGCAGGCAGCCATCCTGAAGAACGAGGAATCAAATGTGAGGTCAAAATTCAGTGTGACTGAGCTCAACTGTGTGTCCAGCACCAGCTACTGTGTAGGGGACAGCATGCGGATGTGAGTAGGACATAGTCCCCTCCCCGCCCCTTTTTTTTTTTTTTTTTTTTTGACAGGCAGAGTGGACAGTGAGAGAGACAGAGAGAAAGGTCTTCCTTTACCATTGGTTCACCCTCCCCCACCGCGGCCGGCGCACCACGCTGATCCGAAGCCAGGAGCCAGGTGCTTCTCCTGGTCTCCCATGGGGTGCAGGGCCCAAGCACTTGGGCCATCCTCTACTGCACTCCCTGGCCACAGCAGAGAGCTGGCCTGGAAGAGGGGCAACCGGGACAGAATCCGGTGCCCCGACTGGGACTAGAAGCCGGTGTGCCGGCGCCGCAAGGCAGAGGATTAGCCTAGTGAGCCGGGGCGCCGGCCGACATAGACCCTTTTCTACAGGAGCTTGTAGCCTGGTGGCTAAGACAGTTATCAGTAATGCAGACTCAGGACGGCAGTCCTGTGGTAGGACAAGGTTGGGTGTGGCCATCAGTGGCCTTGCAACAGTGATGAATGGGATTTTTCTGACATCAGTGAACACTGACATTGACCTGGATGCCTTAGTGTTTATAAAATACAGTTCTTGCTTTTCATGACCAGCGATGAATTGTGTATCTCCTAACTATCTAGTTGGATAAAAACTTTTTAAAAATGTGTGTGCCCTAGTGCTTGTTTTGATAGATTAATCATCTCTGCGTAGGAAGGTACAAAAGAGACAGCGGTCACATAGCCAGCCCTCGGAATCGGCAGCTTCTGCAGTATCTGTGCATACTAAGCCTTAATTCATCCCGAAGCTCCCCCAGTCAACACAGGATCACCACCACACAGTCAGTATGCAAGCTGACATAGAAATTAATTTTTATATCTGAATGAAAAAACATATATCAAACCTGTAAGACTCAAACGCTCTTACAGATTTGGGGTCTCAGATTTTTATGTTTTATTTCCGAGCAATGAATGGGGAAATGGACATGTTCTTCTATTCCTTTATTTAATGTAGAATTTGTAAAAGCAGTAAATACCATTATGTTACAACAAGTACCACCCTCTGTCCTGATGTGTTTCCTGCGTCAGTCCGTTCAGCATGTGTGATGGACGTTGATGAACCTGAGTGAGTCCTAAGGAGTCGTCATTGTTCTGTTGGAGGACCTGGTTTTGAACACCAGGAGCCTACTGGTGCTGTTTCACCTCATAAAACACTGTGCCGACAGCCCTGCTGCCACTGCAGACGCGCACTTGGTCCAGAAGGGCAGGAGCTGCTTGCACCCTAGGCCTGGCTGATGGGAAGCAGAGTCAGAGAGAGGCTCTCAGATGAACTCATTCCCCGGGAAAGGGTGTTCTGAAGTCCAACCAGGGCTTAGGAACCTCTCCCCGACTCCTGCAGATTGCATCGTGTGCTTTCTGGGAACCCAGGATTAGGTGCTGTGGGAGTTCAGGGCTTTATTGAGTGCCCTTTGGAAACGATTAAGCAAAGTAATTGGAAGGAGACGTTTCTGCAGGGTGAGGGTAGTGTGTTTCCTAAAACGGGATCAGCAGGAGAAATTATGTGGGGAGCCAAACAGACTTGGATTGAAATAGCCTTAATTCTCGTTTCGTTTCTCATTCGGTCCTCCTAATGAAGCCCAAAGGCCCAGGCCGCTGCTGGTGATGACATGACTGCAGACACAGACCCTCACTGACATTCTTCTGTAACACGCATTCAGTGACCCCGGCTAGAGATTTGGCAGGCAAAGATCTCCTGCTAAAAGGCAGTAACTGGGTTGGTTTTCCTGGTGTGCGTATTTGGAGCAGGTGATGCTGATTTCAAGCTCCTGCTGGTGATCCAGTTTCCTCCTCCCTTTGTCACAGCATGTTGTTTGTTTTAACTGTTGCCTCCCTGACTAACTCAGCCTAATACATCTCGCAGAACACTCTGCCCAAAGACAGCACACTACACAACTTTGTCAAGTGCACATGCTATAAAACCAAGTCTCAAATTTAAAAGGATTGAAATACAGTTAGGTCCTTCATCTGTAATAGAAAGCAATCAAGGCCGGCGCCGCGGCTCAACAGGCTAATCCTCCTCCGCCTTGCAGCGCCGGCACACCGGGTTCTAGTCCCGGTCGGGGTGCCAGATTCTGTCCTGGTTGCCCCTCTTCCAGGCCAGCTCTCTGCTGTGGCCCGGGAGTGCAGTGGAGGATGGCACAAGTGCTTGGGTCCTGCACCCGCATGGGAGACCAGGGTAAGTACCTGGCTCCTGCCTTCGGATTAGTGCAGTGCGCCGGCTGCAGCGCACCGGCCACGGTGGCCATTGGAGGGTGAACCAACGGCAAAGGAAGACTTTTCTCTCTCTCTCTCTCTCTCTCTCACTGTCCACTCTGCCTGTAAAAAAAAAAAAAAAAGAAAAAAAAAAAGAAAGCAATCAAAAGTTAGTAACAGGAGGAAATTTGGGATAGTCACAAATATGCAAGATTAACACACTCCAAAATTATCTGTCAAAGAAGAAATCACAAGGGAAATTAGAGAACATTTGGAGATGAATCATAGGTGACAACCAAAGCAGTGCTTAGTGGACTACTTCCAGCTGTAAACGCCTGTGTTAAAAAGGAGGAAGGCAAAGAGGAGGAAGAAGAAAGCTCTCAGATCACCTAACTGTGCACCTGAGGAATGAGGGAAATAGTAAAATTTGAATCGAAATAAATCTGATAGAGAATAGAAAAATAAAGAAAACAACAAAACCAAATTTGGTTCTCTGAAAAGATGTAAAAAAGATGAACCTTTAAAGACTGACAGAAAAGAAGGCTGAAGTAACTATAATCAGAAATGAGTTCTGTGTAAATAATCAATTATATAAACCATCTCGCCTCACAGACGATCAGTATGGTCCCCCTTCCTTTCCTTATTTGGAAGAAATGGAGGACATGGTATAGTGATTTTGTTTTTGCTTGTTTGTTTTTTTAATTCTGTTAGGAAATGCTTGGCCTGCTTGAACTGTGAAGGTTGCAGAGTCTGTACTGAAGGCATTAGGCATAAGAGTGGGTAGAGTGGAGAGAGTCCACTAAGGAAAATGTGACACCCTGGGGTCAGTCACAGCCAGGACACCATTCCCACCCCCTGAGCCTCAGGAGGCCAGGGAGAGAGCAGCTGTAGGAGCCTGAGATAGAGAGGGCTTGGCTGGGAGCAGGCTTCGTGGTGCAGCGGGTTAAGCCGCCACTTAGGACGCCACATCCCGTATCAGAGTGCTTGAGGTTGCTTTGCTTCCAATCCAGCTTCCTGCTAGTGACCACCCTGTGAGGCAGCAGGAGATGTGAGCATTTGTGGGGTAAACCAGGAGGTGGAGGTTCTCTCTCTCTCTCCCCTCCCCCCTCTCCTCTCCCCTTCTGCTTTTCAAATAAATAAACTTTTTTTAAAAAAAGGACTGACTGGTTTTTGACCTTGACTGATGGAAGGACTGATCTCCCATGGCAGCCCCATGCAGGGAGCCAGGAGCAGAAGGACCTCAACCTCACTCTTGTTTTCTGAGCTCTTGGCACTGCTATCCACCAGCCAAACCAAGCCAGGAGCCAAGCAGCCAGGAGCCAGCCCGTGCAGACCAACCTCCCCCATGGCACAGAAAGGGAGTGTCGAAAGGGGACTGGGGCATCGGAAGCTGTTTCAGCAAATAGCGCCAGCAGAACATTTGTATGGGAACAGTTGTGAGTTCCCACTTGAAATCCCATTGTCAGGGCTGGTGTTGTAGCACACTGGGTTAAGCTAATGCCTACAGTGGCAGCATCACATCTGGGCTCTGGTTTGTGTTCCAGCTGCTTCACTTCCAATCCAGCTCCCTGTTAATGGCCTGGGAAAAGTAGCAGAAGATGGCCTAAGTGTTTGGGCCCCTGCCACCCATGTGGGAGACCTGGGTGAAGCTCCTGGCTCCTGGCGTCAGCCTGGCTCAGCTCTGGCCATTGCAACTATCTGGAGAGTGAACCAGTGGATGGAAGTCCTGTATCTCTGTCTCCCCCCCCCCCCTCTCTCTCTCTCTAACTGCCTTTCAAGTAAATGATTAAGTCTTGAAAAGAAAAGAAATCCCATTGTCCACATAGGAGAAGAGAAAGAGTGGGCAGATTGCCCCCTCTGTCTTGCTTTTAGAATAGACTTTTTCCCTTGAGAACATGGTTAAGTGTTAGGATTCTAAAAATAGAGAACAGATCCCATTGTGCTAGCACAGTGCTACCCGTAAGGAAACCTTCGCTGGCTGCAAGCCCACGCTAGCTGTTTTCTCCCGTACTGGAAGCCCACGCTGAGCACAGCAGGTCGGCACCTCCGTGTCTCCATTGTCTGCGGGAGGTGCTGGGAGAAGCTCCGTGTGCCCGGATCAGTAGAAGGAGGCTCTGTTGCGTGTGTACTAAGTGTACGTGCTTTATCTCATTGAACCTTCACATAGCGTCATGAGGTTTCACTGTCTCCCCCTGCTGTTTCACACATGAGAAATTATCAGAGAGGAAGAGGCATCATCCGCATCTTTTAAGCGATAAAGATTTCGTTCTGCTTCAGAGGCTGTGTCTGGGTGTTAATCCTTAGGTTATACGTACGCACTAGTCAGTGAGTGGGAGGGAAGCCCCCCACAGCGTGTGTGGACTCTGCTGTGTCTGCTCACCTGTCTTCATCACTTTTTGAAACGCTCACCGTGCCAGAGAGTACATACTTAGTAATGGTTTACAGATGGAGGAGAAGTTTAGTTTTTTTTAAAATTCATACTTATTTTTCAAAAGACAGAGGAAGAGATCTTCCATCTGCTGGCTCATTCTCCAAATGCCCACAGCTGCCAGGGCTGTGCCATGCCAATGTTAGGAGCCCAGAACCCGTGGATCTCTCATGTGGGTGGCAGGGGCCCAAGTACCCTGTACATCAGCAGGAAGCTGGAATTGGAAGTAGAGCCAGGACTCAGATCCAGGCACTCTGTTGTGGGATGCAGGTGTCCCGAGCAGTGTCTGAGGGAATGACCGCCAGTGAACACTACAGGATCTTCTGGGCTGATGGAAATGGCCTGTGTCTAAATTGAAATTGTAGCGGCCGGCGCCGCGGCTCACTAGGCTAATCCTCCGCCTTGCGGCGCCGGCACACCAGGTTCTAGTTCCGGTCGGGGCACCGGATTCTGTCCTGGTTGCCCCTCTTCCAGGCCAGCTCTCTGCTGTGGCCTGGGAGTGCAGTGGAGGATGGCCCAAGTGCTTGGGCCCTGCACCCCATGGGAGACCAGGAGAAGCACCTGGCTCCTGCCATAGGATCAGTGCGGTGCGCCGGCTACAGCGCGCCGGCCACGGTGGCCATTGGAGGGTGAACCAACGGCAAAGGAAGACCTTTCTCTCTGTCTCTGTCTCTCACTGTCCACTCTGCCTGTCAAAAATAAATAAATAAATAAATAAATAGAAATTGTAGCTACTAGAATACATGTATTTGTCAAAATTCATCAGATTATACACTTAAAAGGAGTATATTTATAGGGTGCAAATTATGCCTCAATAAAGTTACTTTAACATTAAAATTATGAAAACCTGCTGAGGAGGTTCTGATGTAAAAAAAAAGAAAAGAGAAATTAGGAACTTGTGTTTAAGTAAAAATTTTGCAGTTGATTTAGAGATAGGACCAGAAATCATGGTTATAATATGTGATGTCTTCCCTTGGTGAAGTTGCCATCTCTGAGGTGTTTTTCAAACTTGAATTACCTTGACTTCTCTCTCCCTTTCTTTCTGTGCATCTAGAACGGCCAGCTGGAGTGTGTGCGCTGGATGGTGAGTGAGACGGAAGCCATCGCAGAGCTGAGTTGTTCCAGGGACTTCCCCAGCCTCATCCATTACGCGGGCTGCTATGGCCAGGTACGCGGGCGGAGCCCCCTGTCGTTGCTTCCCTGTAACACTCCTCTTTTGATTATTGGTCCGCCAGAATCCATAAGAAATTCTTAAAAGTAGGTCTAAGAATTCATAATCAGTGATTTTTTTGTGGCTTTTTTTTTGTCATGACGAAACGTTTTGAACAAACTAAATATCCCAAGATGGGATAATGAGTAAATAATGAAGCTGGATGCGTATGATAAAATCTTATGAGAACTGTCAGTTACGTGATATGAAATTCAAACTGTTCCTCGAACATAGAATAACTTTGGATTTTCTAGAGAAATAGAACATAAGAGCAGAGAAAACTATGGCAGAACACGTTTATGGTAATCTTCACTCAAGGTGGAATTACTAGTGGCTTTTCTTTGTTTTATACTTTTCAGTACTTTTAAGTTCTCCACAGTAAACACAATTCATGTTTATCAAGAGGGAAAGTAATGTATTTCATTTAAGCCAAAGTTAAAAAGAACATCTGTGTAAGACATTAATCAAAGACATCTGACTCTAAGATGAGCTACCTTGCAAACTAGCTGACTCGGGTCACAGCTTCTCCTTCAGGACCCCCGAGTGTTCGTCATTGGTATGCACAGATCACAGCGTGGTGGATGGGGTGAGGAAACATCGGGGATGCGTGTAAGTTATCCTTAAAATAAAACTGGAACATGGAGTGCCGGTCTCGGTCTCAAAAAATAATCAAGTCAGCACTGTATTAAAATAGATTTAATCATATTTGTGGCAAAGAAAACTGCTTCTCATGCATATAACCATATCCACTTTGGCTTCGTAAATGTTCCCAGTGGCAGTAAATTGTGGTATGGTCAACAAGCGATGGCCCCTTCTCGAGTTTGACAACCCCAAGGCCAAAAAACAATGTGCAGTGTGGCTTCCATGCGACTCATGGCAGCTCGTAGAGTCGTTCATTGACCCTCTATGAGATCTTGTTTTCGTCCTCGTCTGTAGAGGAAGAAACAGAAGGAAGTGTAGCAGGAGCAGGAGACTTGATTGCAACTCAGATGGTCCGACTTCAGGGCCAGGTTCTGTTCTGCGTCCTCCCCTGCTTCCCTGTGTAGATAATTTGCACAGAAAACAGCAAGGAGAGCATTTGAAATGTGCAACGCTGTTCAGTGGGAATCATTAGAAGGTCTCTGTTTTCTTTGTGGGTCGTACTGCAAGTCTCCATCGACGGTGTTCTAAACGCATTCAGCAGTAGTGAGCACAGAACTTCACCAAGGATGACTTTATTTTGCTTAAACCGTCAGAGAAGTGGAGAACAGCGTTTCCAAAGGCCAGAAGAATTTGATCAGGGCTAATCTTCGTAATTCCTTTCTGGTACAAAAATGGAATTTTCCTCTCAAGTCATCTGAATAATCATTCCGTGTCCCCGATTCCTTGTGCTTGTGTGCAGCTTCTTGAGGAATTCCAGCCTCAGCGGAAAGGCTGCCAGCACTTTGGGTAGAGCTGCCCCAGGACGACAGGGCAGTAGACAGTCGGGCTCACGCTTGCTTTCTCTCCGCAAACGAACGCCACGTGTCTGCGCCTGTCTCCTTATTCGGCTCTCACAGTGGGTTTCTCATAACTCTGGAGCTGTGAGAGAGAACAAAAGAAATCACTTTTTTAGGGGGCACTGGCAGGGGCATAGTGCAGCTCCCTTGGCTGGAGTGGAGGAAGATACGGAAATTGCTGACCTGTTGGAAGACCGTATCAGGCATTTGCTTCATGCTGGTATCAGCCCTGCAGATGGTATTTCAGGCTGAGGTGTGTTGGTAACGATTGCAAATACAGCCTGGAGGGAGGGGTCCTCCCGGCCCCAGGAGAGCAGCCCACCACCCTGGGGCAGGACGGGGAAGCCCCTCGGAGCAGCGGAGCCTGCCCGGCACCTTCTGCACGGACGCTCCTGCAGCAGATCACCTGCTGAGAGGCTGGACTTGGAGCCGCGACAAGGCTAATATTTTCAGAAGGAAGACTGTTATTGAAGGGGTTCCTAATGGATTCAGCACATGCCTGTTTTTCTGCACCAGGCGGGCACTTGAGCAGATTCTGGTTTGTTTCCTCAGTCAACAGCTCTGAGAAGAGGAGCACGGAGGAAAACACCTCCCTGGGTGTATTTTAGCTGCCCTTTGCCCTGCCTATAGATTCTTTCAGAATGGGCTCCACGGCACTCCCAATTTGTGTCCTTTTTCCTGTAAAAATTGCCTTTAAAGACTGCGGTACCGCAGGGTCGCTAGCAGTTTTTAGTGACCTCCTGCAGTGACAGATCTTTGCGTGATGGGAATTGATTTTCCCCATCTTGACACGCAGCGTCTCAGAGGGTGCAATTATTTCATTGCCTGATTGTACCCTGCAGAACCAGCCACACGGAGCGGGAAGGTGAGCGCCTCGGGGAGACTCTGGACCAAGCAGGGGTGTCTTGGCAAAGCCTGTTTTACTGTCCCAGTGGAGGAATGTCGCGGCAGAGTCCTCTCCATTCCAGGCTGCTACCTGTGTCTCCGGGGCTGCTTTATTCCAGAATGAAGGTTCGGATGCTGTCAGCCTGGCTCTCCCAGCGAAGCTTCCCACCCTGAGCAGCTCGGGGCATCAGTCCCAGCGCGGACCCAGTGGGCTCCGTGTGACTTTCAGCATCAGGCCTGTGATCCCCTTCATTTCCGATGTGTTCACGTGACTTTTGGTCAAGGACGTCGTGTGCAGAAATGACTCGTGTTGTAGTGCTGAGCATTTGCCAAAAGCACCTTTGGCTGCACTGTGTGCGTTCCGCCTTGATGCAGATTCTTTAAAGCACCTTCGAAGGAAGAGGCGTAGTGGTTGGCAAAAGGTCATGAGCAGCAGCTGGCGTGCTTCCATGGGCCGTGCTGTTGCTGTTTTTCCACGGTTTACTCTCAGAGGAAGAAAGATGCCCTGATTTTTTGTTTCCCTCTGAAGGGGCAGAAATAAATAAGCAGTGTGATAGTGCTGTGATCATGGATGAAAGCAAAACAGAAAGATGTTTGAATCGCATGAGCACCCTCTGCTCTGTGAGTGCTGCTCTTGGAAAAGCATAACCAACGTGAGCTCAGCAACCCGCGGAAGGACAGGCGGTTGGCTGTGAGTTCCTTTCCCCAGGGGCACACGGGCAGTGTGTCCTTCAGTGAGTCAGGGCTCCAGGGGGATGAGCAGTTGCGGGATCCATGCTCGGAAGACACCAAACAAGAGTCATGAAGAGTGTTGGTTCCCAACTCAGGCTGTCTGGGTTTTAGTCCTGGCTCTACCATTTATACCAGCTCGGTGGCCTTGGATACATCCATTTTAACAAAGAAGAAAATGGCCAGTGCTGTGGCATAGTAGGCTAAGCCTCTACCTGCGGCACTAGCATCCCGTATGGGCACTGGTTCCTGTCCTGGCTGCTCCTCTTCCGATCCAGCTCTTTGCTTCTGGCCTGGGAAAGAAAGCAGTGGAAGATGGCCCAAGTGCTTGGGCCCCTGAACCCACGTGGAGATCCAGAGGAAGCTCCTGGGTCCTGACTTGGGATAGGCCCAGCTCCGGCTGTTGCGGCCATTTGGGGAGTGAACCAGCAGATGGAAGACCTTTCTCTCTGTCTCTCCCCTCTCTCTGCCTGTAGCTCTGCCTCTCAAATGAATAAATATTTTTTTTAAAAAGGAAAGAAATGGAATTTTCCCTTGCTCAGTTTCCTCATCTGGAAAATGGAAGCCACAGAGGCTTCCTCAGACTGAGTGAGGAAACAGCATTGGTGGTCGGCACTGGGTAAGTGCTGGCTGCTGTGACTGTTGAGTCCCTTGCATTGTTTGCTTTTGTTGCTACCATTATTATTTACTTTTTTTCACCATAAGAAAAAGTTTTCCAAAGAATTATGTAGGCCTTAACCTACTTAATTCTTAGTGTACTTTCCCCCCATATTTTACCATCTATGGATTCAACGTTTATCTTTCAATAAATGCCATTATGAAATTGTTGCCCATCCTTTTTTTTAGCATTTTTATTTTTTAAAATTTATTTATTTATATTTTTTTTGACAGGCAGAGTGGACAGTGAGAGAGACAGAGAGAAAGGTCTTCCTTTTGCCATTGGTTCACCCTCCAATGGCCACCGCGGCCGGCGCACTGCGCTGATCCAAAGGCAGGAGCCAGGTGCTTATCCTGGTCTCCCATGGGGTACAGGGCCCAAGCACCTGGGCCATCCTCCATTGCACTCCCTGGCCACAGCAGAGAGCTGGCCTGGAAGAGGGGCAACCGGGACAGAATCCGGTGCCCCGACCAGGACTAGAACCCGGTGTGCCGGCGCCGCAAGGCGGAGGATTAGCCTAGTGAGCCGCGGTGCCGGCTTTTTTAGCATTTTAACATATCAGAAACGGGAATCAATCTTACAATTGATGGTATATTACATTTGGTGATCTGTGTTCATAAACAATGCTGACTCCTTCAGAACTTACGATTGTACCTTAAACTACAGTGATCGTAACGATACCAGAAATAAAACTGTGACATGCTTTTTTAATTAACTTTTTCATTAGACTTTGTCCAGCAAAGCTCATAAATTATGTGTGTTAATTGTTCCTTTAAACAACTATTGTTGGTTTTAGGAACACATAAAATGTAACCTTAAAACAGGTTGCAAAAGATCAAAAAAATCCCCAGAAAAGAAAAGTAGTACATTAAGGAACTTTGCAGTCGGTAGATGAAAGCTGAATGGGTAGATGATGGAATGTGAGTTGGAGACGCGTTCTGTGAAGCGGAGAAGGCCTTCTACTCCATGGGCTGTGCTGGATGTTGCTGAAAGCAGTGTTTACAGGGAAATGAGTGTCTGAAGTTACAGTCCTCCTTAACAGTGCGTCTCTGTAGACACGTGTGTGTGTGTGTAAGAGGGAGGGAGGGAGGGAGGGAAGGAGGACTCTAAAGGGCTAAGAAGGAAGGGGCCACCATTGCAAGTATCTCCAGTCATTAATGAAGACTCTTTAGTTGCAGGAAACAGCCATTCTGTCCTCCTCGCAAGGTATTTGTCAGCCAAGCCACTGTTAAGTTGTGCGACTCCACGGCACAGGCATGTTCTCCGTGGATTCTGGACATCTATGGCTGTCTCAGGAATCCTAGATGTTGGTCTTCTAATCAAGACTAGGTGCATAGCCAGCCAATCCCTGTGGATAGGACTTCTCTGGTCAGTAGGATAGGGAAGATTTGGGTTTTCATAAAGTATCTCAGGGAACAGGCCAACTACAAATCTCTTTGTTCAAGTAAATTGTCCTTCGCAGGGCACAGAAGTGAACTTGAGGTCCTGGCGAGCCCTCGAGCTCCGGCAACTCCTGGCTCACACGGGCCTCACATGTCTTGTTCTCCCAGGTTGCTCAGCCCCTGCAAAGACCAGGGCCCAAGGCTTTCCTTGGATATTCACAACAAGAACATTCCTGCTCTTAAGAAATGCTGGGTCCCATTGCCTACCAGCCTACCACCAAAGGTCCAAATGCTGAGTTTTAGTAAAAGCCATTTTTGTTTTGTACAGGAGAGAGAGACATATCTACTGTAATATTTAGTTGCTTCTGAAAGATAGGAAAATTTGCACGGCAAGAAGGTACAGGTAAAATACTTCTGAGTCTTGTGAACTCCCCTGAGCTCTGCTTACTAACAAAAGAAGTTGCTAGAGTATCGGGCTAGAATACGCAGTTGTCTGCTCAGTTTTCTGATTTATAAAGTAAGGGGCTGTTTGCATTGGATGACTTCCTGAAACCTCTCCAGCTCTGCAGCTTTAGGAGTTCATGACTTAAGATCATAGAGCAAACCAAGTCACCGCAAGCGTGGAAACGACCCACGGAAGAGAATCTGCCGTGCAGATGGTGCCATTGTTCTCCACAGAGGCTCAGCACCCTGGCCCCGTGCAGGCACGGCCGATCTGAGCCATTGGCTCCAAACCAGTTGGTTTTGTCTTGTGTCCTCGGACACCTCCACTCATCCAGATTTTTAAGGAGTTCAGATCACATCATGCAACCATCTGTTCCCATAAAGTAATCCAGTTATTTTTCCTCTGCCTAATTAGGAAAAATAAAGGAAACGGTTTTACTTCATGCACTGTGAAAAAGCCACCTGCTGTGGCCCCAGACACCAGCTCCAACTTTCTGAGAAGCGTGTCTGTGTTTGCTCAGCCAGCTCTGAACTCAGCTCCAGGCCCTGCCCCGCCTGTTCCTCTAGTGCCCTTTGAGGAGTTCACCTTCCGCCAGCCTGTCTGCTTGTGCAGCCAACACCCGCCCTGTTTCCCGGGTGCATTCTTGGTAGACTGTAGACATGGATTACATTTTTTCTCTCCTTGCTCTTTAAGGGTCTTACTCATCTGGAAGAAAAGCGTGGTGCAAATGTGCAGTCCGCCCATGATGTCTCGGATGCCTTCATAAACAGTGTCCTGTGTCCCGGCATCAGGGGGAAACTTGAAAGGAGCTGGCTGTTTTCATCCAACATTCCTTTGGCAGAGTAGTTGGCATGTTCAGAAGATGAAGGCAAATTTAATCCAGAAAAGTATAAAAGTTCATGACCAGTCCGAGCAAATAACTGGGAAAGAAATCCTTTAAAAGGCTAAGAAGAAAGAAGTTCAAGGCTATTTCAAACACATGATCATCTTTTTAAATGTCACATTCCACCCACTAAACTTCATGCTGTTGTTTTTACCACTCTCATATTTTTTTTTAACTTTTATTTAATTCTTCTATTTTAAAACAGTGAAATCCCATCCCCCTGCTTTCTGCAAAGGCCAAGCATAACAGGAAAATGCCACAAAACACTCAGTGGATAGAATAAAAACAGATTATGACAAACATACTGCTGTATGACTTTGCTCTCAAACGGTTTATGTTCAGAGCTTTTGGTGCCCTCGCTTTAACATGGAAGAACAGAAAACGTCACCTCTAAAGCCCCACCAACAGTTGGTCGGAACAATCACGAGGGTCCTGGTTTCATTGCAGTGTGGTTGTCCTGACAAGCTGAGATGCTGCCTCTTGTTGTAAGCTTGTTGACTGCGGGATGTAAGGGTTCAGGAGGGCATGTTTTCAGAATTATCCTTGAAACTAGAAGCTAGTCATCCCAGTAGCCCAAGGTTGTGTGATAAAACTTGTCGCTCCCCCATTCGCGGAGGAACGACACAGGACCCTGCGTTGTTCTTTCGTCTGCTCGGCCCTTCCTGGGTTTGCTGCTGGTCCTTCCCGGGTTGGCTGCCGACCCCTCCACCTCCGTGGAGGGGTGGCTCCCCCTGCCACTTTCCTCACTTCCGCGGGGGAGCAGCACACCGCCGGCCGGCTCTCTTGGGGGCTGCACAGGTGTTCCTTCAGATGTTCCCTGGTGCATGTTGTCTCTCTCCTCCTTTTATAGTCCTCTTCCACCAATCCCAACTCTGCTACCCACACGCCAAGTACGCTGCTCTCCTCCAATCAGGAGCAGGATCAGCTCCTGCAGCTCATCAGTCAAGTTGGTGAGAGACAGCTGCGTAGAAGTTGTTTGGTCCTTTCTCAGCGCCATATTGTGGGAGAGCAGATGCATAGAATAAGTCTTAATTCCAGTAACTTAGTCTAGTCCGAGTTGCTCCCCACAAAAACTCTTGAAGCCTACATGCTGTGTAACATGGTAGCTGAAACGTGGCCTTGGGAGCCTTTGAATTCAAATACCTGGGTTCTGGTTCCCACTTGGGCTCGGTCTAGCTGCGTGGCTTTGAGGAAGAGATATTCAAACTTGGTGCGAATCTGCTTTCCCATCTGTAGGATCGCTAAGTAAAACATGGGTGTTTCCAAGGTAACTGCTCTGAACATCCCACGGGGTCCCTCGGTGGTTTCCGTTAGAGAGCCCCGCGTCTTCAATTCCTTCCGAAGGGGACGTTTCTCTCCGTCTGGGAAGCATGGTTTTAGCCCAGCTCCACAAGCTGCAGCGTTGTTTCCCTCTGTGTCTACGTAAGGTCTGACTTCCCTGAGAGATACTCTGTTAATTCAGCTGTCTCTCTGTTTGTAGGAAAAGATTCTGCTCTGGCTCCTCCAGTTTATGCAAGAGCAGGGCATCTCACTGGACGAAGTGGACCAGGACGGCAACAGTGCTGTTCACGTGGCCTCGCAGCACGGCTTCCTGGGCTGCATACAGGTACACAGCCCTGCTGCTTTGCAGAAAGGAGCGTATCAGACACTAAAACCAAAAATGGAGGTTTTGTTCACTAGGAGAATGTCTGGAATCGGTCACCTTTTGTATGACAGCAGACAGTGAGGATCTGTGTTGACCTCTTTGTATTTCCAGCAATCCACACAAATACTGCCATAAATACCCCTAAGAGTTGCTGCTTGCATGCCCAGGGCTGTTGAAAGGACTTGCCATGCCCTGTCAACGCAGCTCTAACGCTCTGACACTGAGGGCCGCACACATTAAGGACCTCCTGTTCTCAAGATGGCAAGGAAACCACGGCCACAGTGATAGCCCCTATCTCTCCAGTGACCCTCGTCCAGCAACTCTCCAGTGACCCTCGTCCCTGCCCGTGGCAGCAGCCTCTCCTTCCCAGGCATATGAGAAATGGGTTGGTGTCTGCACAGTGGTTCAGCTTGGATGTGGGACGCCCACCTCCCATGATGGGGTCCCAGCTGACTTCTCACCCAGCTTCCTGCTGCTGCTCACCAGGGTGGGCAGCACTCATGGCTCTAGTACTTGGGTCCTCAACATCCAAGGGGGAGACCCAGCTTGAATTCCCAGCATCAGCCTGGGCCGGGCCAGGCCAGGCATTGCAGACACTTGGAAAGTGAGCCAGTGGACGGAAGCTTTCTCTCTCTTGCTCAGTATCTGTCTGATTCTCTCTGTGCCTCTCCACCTCTCAGGTTGAAAAATAAGGTGCCAAAAAAAATTAATGAAAAAAGAAAAGAGCAGGACAGATTTTTCAGGACTGGGTTAGAAGACTCCTTCATAGTGGGGAGCTGTCGACTGGCAAGGGAGTGCTGTGGCTTCCCTCTTTCTCTAGAGTAGGCGTGAGCCCCATAAATGCATTCAGAACCCCAGAACTGGGGGAGATGCCTTGGATCCTGATCCTCTTGTGCCTTGGACAGGTGAGGCAGGGCCATGATTGACTCTTCCACCCAGTGGCAGCAAGTGGCCTCATCGTCCAGCCTCCCACACAGGGTGACGTCCCACCTGTGCAGAAGGGACAGAGGCTGCTACCCCTCCTCAAGCCCCTGAGGGGGCACTGCAAGGGCACAAGGTCCCTGCAGGGGAGGGAGACAGCATCTCATCCCCTAGCTGAGTGCAGAGCTGCCTGACGCTGGGCCAGCCCCGTGCCCCCTTCAGACAGCCCATGGCAGGGGTCCCCGGGGCTTCCCAGAAGCCTGGTGGTGTGAGTGCCGAAACCAGATAGACCTCTCTTGGTCTTGCAGATGTTGACAGCCCTCAGTGACGGAGTTCATGCAGAGGAAAGAGAGGAGGGGGAGGGAACTGTGGGGAGAGGAAAGGCTATGCGTTGCAGTCAGAGTCATAGTTGTGTGGATTTGGCCTGGCATTCTACTTACTGACATAAATCGTGACCGACAGAGCCAGACCATCCTCGCCATTCAAAACAGCCCAACTTGTGTGGATGGCGAGAGGGAACATTGACCATACAGGGTTGACATCTGTTTTGAAGAAAATACATTTGCTTCAAGTTCATACTGTTAAACAGATGTTACACGCATTGCCCCATAACTTCATTACTTGGTGTTAATTAAAAGGACAAATTAAAAATACTTGCCCATGACATATAATACATTTCCCACCTCTGGGGAAGGTGCACTCTGGCTTACAGATGCGTTGTTTCCTTTGCTGTGTGCTCCTATGTTAGTAGGTGTTCATGGAGGCCCACTGCGTGCAGGTAGACTGTCTCCAGAACAGAAAATACGAAGCAGTGAGACCCGGTCGCCCAGGAAGGCAGGGGGGAAATGACGGGAGTCCGAGTATGCAGGGTGAAGCTGTAGATGGACAAGGCCAGGGATGAGCTGAAGCCGGCACAGGGGTTGCCACAGAAAACTCCCACGAAATCGCCCTTTGGAGTGCTGGCTTGATAGGAAGGATCCAAGTATCTGAAAGGTTTCTCATCATTACTGGCAAAACATGCATCTGCTAATTTAAGGCACCACGTTCAAAACAGTGATAAAGAAATTGGAGAGTTAGAAGGGGCAGAAATTCAGGTTCTTCCTAGGATCTGCAGAACGATGAAAGGCATAGCGTTGTCTTTTTGTGGAGGGAAGGTAGCTGAGTAAACGCTGAAAACTGTACTTTCCCACTTCAGAAGGTACTGCAGTGTCTGTCTCGGCTGTTCATCAGCTGCTTAATGACCGAAAGCCAGAGGAGCCGGCTATCCCTAATTCTGTTTAAGATTTGAGTTTCTTTTCTCTGTAACGTGTGAGCAGAGGGGCTCCGCCCTTTCAGCACGGTCATCCCTCCACACCCAGGATGCTCTTGGCACAGTTCCAGGGGTGTGGAAGCTTGGGTAATCCTGGAAGAGGGTCCGTGTGCCGGTGTGAGAGTAAGAAGAGACAAAAAGAGGCTGAGAGGGAGGGAGGGGCCCAGGAGGTGAGGAGGGGACTGAGGCAAGGAAACAGTGGGGAGAAACCTGAGCCAGGGGGTGCCGCAGTGCCCATCTCTGGAGAGCCCTGTGACCGCCCCGGGAGGCAGCGTGGCAGACTGACCTTTCATGGCAAGGGACCCTAAGCCAAGAGGGAAATCCGAGTCTAACGATTTAATGCTACGGTTTTGTTTGTGGGAAAAAATAGTTACCTGACACCCACATCATCGGGGTGGTTTCGTGGGAGGACCCTGTCCTTTTGTAGAGGAGGTGACAAGTTGACACCGGGCCCCCTTCTACAGCGTCTGCTCAGCCCAGGGACACACCGCGGCCATGGCAGGTGGGGGCAGCGTGGGCACCTCCCTGCCTGCCTGCTCTCTGCTCTGCTGCTTCTCCGCAGTTCTTTTTATCCTGGACCAGGTGGGCTCAGCAGCACCTCAGCAGGTGTCGCTCTAGAACAGGTTCCCAGAGCCACGCAGATGGGGACAGGTGCACACCACTCCACTGTCCCCTCCCTCCTGGCGTGCGCAACTTCATGGATGGTCGTTTTGGAGCCCAGCCGTGGAGAGAGACAAAGCCCCTCCCACAAACACTGCACCTGCTCATCTCACCAACGACAGGCCACTGCGGATGCTACACCCACCTCCCCGACCTGGTCCTCCCCTCTGTCCACTATAGGTGGGGCTTCCTACTGTGGGATGGGTACTGCTCCGTTTCACAGCCCCGAAGAGAAGGACCTAGGTTCCACTGCTGGTGCCCAGCACCCTGCCTCAGGTAACAGGTGCTGGAACAACAGGAGAAGTTGTGTTCCGCATTCTGTTACAGTCATTAGACATCAGGGTTGACAGGGAGTCCGGATGCAATGACTGACGCGTCTCTGCCTTTGCTGACAGACCCTGGTGGAATACGGAGCAAACGTCACCATGCAGAACCATGCGGGGGAGAAGCCATCCCAGAGCGCCGAGCGGCATGGCCACACCCTGTGCTCCCGGTACCTGGTGGTGGTCGAGACCTGCATGTCACTGGCCTCACAAGTGGTGAAGCTGACCAAGCAGCTCAAGGAGTAAGTGGCCTGTGGGTTCCCGGGCGACTGTCTGGCTCGTCCTTGGCTTGCTAAGCCAGGGGTTCAGCCACATGCAAGGGTGAGCGCACTTGGCTCCTGTTACTAAGGGAATTCCGGCATTCGCCTCAGCTTCTTTTCTTCCTCCATCTCAAGTCCACACGGGCAGTGTCCTTGCAGAGATGGCGTCTCTGCAGGGGCAAAATGGTGTTTAGCCAGCCGTGGCGTGGGCAGAGCGAGCTCCCTAGACTGAAGTTCACACTGTCACAGATGACAGCACATCCCTAGGTCTGTCCCCATCTCTGGCGCAGGTACGCACCAGGATGCTGACAGCACATTCAGGTGCCGTCTGTCCTTAATATCCCAGGAAACCAGCAAGAGCGCAGGAGAGACAAGGAGGGTCTCAGGCTTCTCAAAAAGAGAGATGTGTGCTTGGGAAGCTACAGGTGAATCACTTGGGAGCCGTCCCTCGCACGTTTACTGTCAAAGTTAAATAGCGGATTCGTGAGTCTTCAGGACAGAAAGACGCGGAGTTCGGTCAGCAGGAAGTCACTTAAAACACTGTGACTCGTTGAAGCTGGCTCTTTCCTTGGGAAGATGGTTAAACAGGTGTACCCTGAACATCTCAGTGTGAGGGAAGCATTCTGGGGATTGCTCTGATCTGCTTTAAAGGGGTGGGGAGCAGATGAGGACCCATCAGGTAGGTCTCCAGCAAGTTGAAGAACCAAGGAGGGACCACGAGATGTCACAGTGACCAAAGCACAGTCACCATGCTGGAGACAGTTCCCTGAAAGTCCAAGTCAGTAGGCAAGATGGTGTTGACAGATGGCAGGGAAAACTTTAAACATTAAATTTCAGAGAGAAACTATCTAGTCTTTTAAGTTACAGAAATATGCACACAAATGGTTTTCAAAAAGTTTATGGGAAAACACATGTTGTTAAGAAACCGCATGTACTTCAAAAATTTTTGCACCAAAATAAACATTTTAATTCCATTTCGCATGAAGCTTTTGAAGTACCCTGGATATGTTTGTATATATGTGTGTATATGCATGGACACACACATGTGTGTACACATGTGTATTGCTGAATACTATGTATTAAGAAAAAGGCCTAGAGCGGGTGTAAGGTCTTAATTGATTGTATGTATAAGTCATACCACGTATGACAAGGCTTTGACTCTCTGTCCCTCTCTCAACTTGGGGAAGCCTCCCGTATTGCTCTTGACTTAAAGGTACATATCTCTGTCCCTCAACTCCTTCCCCTGCCAGTACCTAGAATGAGCTCTTTAATGAGTTTAGACTTTTGCTAGAAAATAAGGTTAGAAAATTTTTAAGTAAAGGTTTGTCTCCAAGTATCCTCTGCAAGTAACAGAACTTCCCCAGGAAATTCCCAGGACAGGTGAGCTTCCCCAGGACAGGTGAGCCAGGTGAGCTTGAAGGTCTCAGTGGAATTAAAGGGAAAATGCAAACAACCAGTAACTCGGTCTCCTTCCACAGTGAACGTACTTGTGCATATGTCATTGGATGTGGGTAGGTATTTCCAAAAGTAAGTTGCCAGGAAATAAGTTACTGGAACAAAAGGTATCTATATTTAAATGTGAATAAACATTGCCTGATACCTTAACAAAAATGCTCTCCAGGAGTCCACTGGCTCTATAGTGTATTGACCTAGCGGTGAAGGGGAACTTTACAATGATCCGATACTATATATTTCTAAGCATTCATACTCAGAGAAAAAATCAGAAAACTTTTCCCCCATCTTGGCAACATAGAATCTGCAAAGCTTCAGGCTACAGCAGCTGTTTCATTGGCTAACTGTTCAAGCATGGGGTCTTGGCCACTCTCTGGTGATGATCCTGGGATAAAATATGCACAGTCGCGGATGGATAACAGTGTTTCTGTTGCCTCCAGACTGGAATGCTATAAAGCATTGCAGTTAGGCCAGTGACACAGTATAATACGGGAAGTTACGTTGTCAACTTTCCTCTTCTATTAACTTGTGCCTCAGTGAGGCTAGCGAAACTGGAAATCCGTGGGGGAATCCACTGCTGAGTACCACAGTGCACTTCTGTACAGGTCCCGGCACTAATAACACTAACACGTCCAGGAGGAGGGGAGGCAAACACTGGCCCTTCCAGTCCCAGACTCTGGGTGCAGACCTTCTTGGGTACCTTTTCCAGCCTCTGCCACCTCTTTACAGTTAGGAGACATAGTTACCATTTAGCGAGGGCAAGCATCGGCCTCATCAGCAAGCGTGGATGTCGGAGGCTGAGTTCTGCTCTCCTCCCCGCTCCCCACAACATGTGCATTGGCGTCCTAACCACCAGCACCTCCGAATGTGGCCTGGTTTAGAAATGGGGCCACAAGGTGGGGCCTGTTCCACAGAGCCTGGTGTCCTTACAAAAGGAGAAAATGGCGACACCAAGACAGACACATGTGCAGGGGGAGCACGATGAACACACACTGGCCGCAGGTGTGGTGATGTGTCTGTGGCCCTGGAGCACCACGGGTTGGCAGACAGCTGCCGGAGCCTGTCCCGTGCCTCTCCAACAGCCCTCAGTAGGAACCACCTGGCCAGCGCCTTAACCTTGGACGTCTTGGCCTCCGGAGCTGTGATGAGATGACGCTGGCCTTGTGGTACTTTGTCGTGGCAGCCCTGGAGCACTAACACAGTAGACCCCTGCTCCTGCCTTTCCTCTCTGGACAAGGCTGGTTAGTGTTTTCTGAGGGTTCTTTGGACCTAGAAAGGTGACTCAGTCACCCCAGTGTTCCCACATTCTTATTTTGACAATGTCGTAATTTAAGATTCCTAATAAACCCTTTTAAGCTGGACTATAATCTTTCTTTGTTTTACCTTTGCTAAGTATTTTTTTTTCCTCAAGAACTCAGCATGCAGCACCAACAAGCAATGTGGCAAAGTAGATGCCCGGTATCTTTTCAGTTGTTATTATCTCATTAAACCAGGGCCTGAGGTCTATAGACTGTGGCCCGAATCCAGTTTGCCCCCTGTTTTTGTAAATAAAGCTTTATTGAAACACAGCCACGCAGTCATTTATGTGTTGTGTAGGGCTGGTATCGTGCTATAAAGGCAGATGGAACCCATATGGCTCGAAGCCTAAAATATTTACTCTCTAGCCTTTAAGGAAAAGCTTGCTTGCTTTAGACAGTTAAGTTTTCATAGGTGAGTCTGGCAGGGTCAGTGAGATAAAATGAGATCATAGGCGTCGTTCTTAGGGATGAAAGGTTAGGACTAAACATGACTGCTTCCAAGAAAAACAAAGAGAGTGCTTGGGACTAGGGAGGGTGTTAGCGAGTCTGATCTGCAGAGTGAGACTCAGGCAGGCAGTGGTCGTTGAGTAGCAACACCAGTGAACACAACCAGGAGAACGTTAGAATTCCCCCAGCCAGTACCTGAGATCCAGCATCATTTTAACAACCCTGATCATGTATTTAGTTCTGTGTCCCAGCTTATGAGACCTGCTACCCCTTTTGATGCTCATTTTCTTTAGTTTTCTAGTGCTGGGGCTGGCACTGTGACGTAGTGAGTAAAGCTGCTGCCTGCAGTGCCGCCATCCCATATGGGCACCAATTTGAGTCCCAGCTGCTCCACTTCCAATCCAGCTCCCTGTTAGTGTGCCTGGGAGAGTAGTGGAGGATGGCCAGAGTCCCTGGGCCCCTGCACCCAGGTGGGAGACTCAGAAGAAGCTCCAGGATCCTGGCTTCAGGTCGGCCCAGCTCGGCCATTTGGGGAGTGACCCAGTGGATGGAAGCCCGCTCTCTCTCTCTCTCTCTCCGCCTCTGCCTCTCAGTAACTCTGCCTTTCAAATAAATAATAAACATTTTAAAAAATATTTTACTTAGTTACTTATCACAAAATCAGTGGCTAAAGACAGCGAAAGTGTATCATGGTTCTGTAGGTGGGGAGGCCAGGAGGGGCCTCTCCCGACTAAAGTGAAGCTGTTCACAGGCAGGCTGCGCTCCTTTCTGGAGGTTCTTCTGTCGGCAGAATCGGTTCCTGCAACTGCAGCGCGGGGGCCGAGCCCTGAGAGACCGCTGTGGCCTGTGGCTGTGGTCCCCTTCTTCCATCTTCTGTGCAGCGAATGCAGGTTGAGTCCTTCTCACCTCTGATCCCTCTTCCTGCTGTCCTTCCTCCTCCTCCACTGGTAAAGACGGAGGTGACCAGATTGCAGAGTAACCTCCGATGAGCCACCCTGACTCGCCATGGCCGGGTAAGGTGAGCTTGTCCCACCTTCCTGAGGCCCGAGTGTGCAGGGACATCTCTGGGGACACCGCACTTGTAGTACAGAGCTCAGTAAAAACAAAGTAAGTTTGATTGACTTATTTCAACATCAGCAGTGGTAGCTGAGTAGCCTGTGGGACCAAAAGCGTTTCAGGTTTTTCAGGTTTTGGATTTTGGAATGCAGGGCATTTCAGAAAGCTCCTGAGGGCTGGCCTTGTGGAGCGGAGCATGGAGCTGCCGCCTGCAATGCTGGCGTCCCATATTGGCACCAGCTGCGTTCCAGCTGTGCCACTTCCAATTCAGCTCAGCAGAGGATGGCCCAGGTGTGTGGGCTCCTGCACCCATGCAGGAGACCCAGAAGAAACTCCTGACTCCTGGCTTCTGACCAGCCAAGCTGTGGCTGTTGTGGCCATTTGGGGAGTGAACCAGAAGATGGAAGACCAACCTCTCGCTCGCTCTCCCTCTCTGTAATTCTGCCTTTCAAATAAATAAATCTTTTTTTTTTTAAGTTTTTTTTTATTTGACAGGTAGAGTTTCAGAGAGAAAGAGACAGAGAGAAAGGTCTTCCTTTTTCCTTTGGTTCACCCCCCAAATGGCCGCTACAGCTGGCGTGCTGCGCCGATTTGGAGCCAGGAGCCAGGTGCTTCCTCCTGGTCTCCCATGCGGTGCAGGGCCCAAGCACCTGGGCCATCCTCCACTGCCCTCCCGGGCCACAGCAGAGAGCTGGCCTGGAAGAGGAGCAACCGGGACTAGAACCCGGAGCCCATATGGGATTCCGGCACCACAGGCGGAGGACTAGCCAAGTGAGCCACGGCGCCGGCCCCTCAAATAAATAAATCTTTTTAAAAAATGTTAAAGTTCATGGAAGAATGGAATTACAAGTTTATTTTGGTGCAAAAAAAGATTGTGAAATCCTTTGTCTTTTATTTTGGATACACATTTTCCAATAGTTTATTGAATATCAGTAGTACCTGGACAAACTTTACTGGATGATTATCCCAAATCTGAAAAATCCAAAATGTTCTGAGGATTTTACCATTAAGGATACTTATCCTATAATGAGTGTCTTCTAAATTGATTTTACTTTCTACAACTTATGACTTTTAAATTTAAAAGATATTCTAGGGGCTGGTGCTGTGGCGCAGTGGGTTAAAGCCCTGGTCTGAAGTGCCGGCATCCCATATGGGTGGCGGTTCGAGTTCTGGCTGCTCCTCTTCCGATCCAGCTCTCTGCTAAGGCCTGGGAAAGCAGTAGAAGATGACCCAAGTCCTTGGGCCCCTGCACCCGCGTGGGAGACCTGGAAGAAGCTCCTGGCTTCGGATCACCACAGCTCTAGCTATTGTGGCCATCTGGGGAGTGAACCAGCAGATGGAAGATCTCTCTCTTTCTCTGCCTCTCTCTGTAACTCTGTCTTTAAAATAAATAAAAATAAATCTTTAAAAAAATAAAAAAGACATTCTGATGCACGTGCTGTTATATACCGAGGAAACAGAATATTGCCTCCATAGAAAAAAATTATCATTGTTTTTACCCAGAATGGAAATAGTTTGCTTGTTTCATTGTTTAGTTGAGTTTCTTTTATGATAAGTAAATTAATATAATTATAGTAAAAATTTAAACAACTTAATATTTTCTTCTAGTGTTTCTTTTGAAATCATATGTATATATATTGAAACAGAGAGCAAATATAGTATCATTTTAATAGCTCTCATTATAGCAGTAATTTATTTACTCAGTCTTATTAATGAGCATTTTAGATTACTTGGAGTTTTTCACTAACCTCAACAATAAGTACACGTTTGAGTACTTTTGATTTAAGATTTATGTATTTGTTTGAAAAAGAGAGAGTTCTTCCATCCGCTGGTTTACTCCCCAGATGGCTGCAATGACCAGCAGTGGGCCAGGCTGACGCCAGGAGCCAGGAGCTTCATCAGGGTCTCTCATGTGAGTGACAGGGGCCCACACCCTTGAGCCATCTTTCACTGCTTTCTCAGGTCATTAGCAGGAAGCTGGATCAGAAGTGGAGCAGCAAAACTGATCTTCTGTATATAAAGAGAATCGAAAATGAATCATGATGTGAATGGAAGGGGAGAGGGAGTGGGAAAAGGGAGGGTTGCGGGTGGGAGGGACGTTATGGGGAGGAAGCCATTGTAATCCATAAGCTGTACTTTGGAAATTTATATTCATTAAATAAAAGTTAAAAAAAAATAAAAAATAAAAAAGAAGTGGAGCAGCAAGGACTCGAACCGGCACCCATATGGTTACTGCTATGCCACAAAGCATAGGAAGATTTCTAAACTGTAAGGATGATGACCAAGCACACTTTCAAGGCCGTTGAATTGACTGCAGCTTGCTGCGGATTATCCTGGCAGGCTGTAGACCTGCTCACCTGCTCACTGGGGCAGAGGCGGCCGGCAGAGGCTTACCACCTTGGTTGTTTCCACAGACAGACGGTGGAGCGCGTCACCCTCCAGACCCAGCTCCAGCAGCTTCTGGAAGCCCAGAAGACAGAGGGCAAGTCACTCCCCTCCTCGCCCAGGTAATGCCCGGCACGCTGTGGTTTAGAAAAATCTTAGAGCCGTCTTCTGGACTTCCTTTACTGTCCTCTGAGACAACAGAGAACATTTTATTCCATAAAGAGGAATAGAAATGAGTTGCCACAGTGAAAAAGGCAGTGGACTGGGAGTGCAGAGACCCGGGCTGACCTCTGAGCCTACTGTTGGCTGTTCCATGACTCTTAAAAGGGACCTCTCATCGCTTCATCTATAAAGTGAAAATAAGAAAGGATAGGCTGATAAAGTTGTTGAAAATGGGACCGAGGAAGCTTACGCAAAGTTGACGTGTAAGCAGTAAACCCACAGACATGTTTAGTGGTCACCATGGTCCCTGCACGTGGTGTGAGGCACGCTGTGCTGTGGTGATGGTTGTCGCGCTGGGGTATCTGCACACTACTTTTACAGAGACAGTAAGTGATTATTGTTAATTCCATCCTTACTGGTTTCAAATGAGGAGTAGCAGTGAAGGCCTTGGGAGTGCCTTGTGGTGGGGTCGTTGCAGTCGCAGCAGGAAACCGTCTCTTACTTCCTTCCTCTTCTTCACAGCTCGCCATCCTCACCGGCTTCCAAAACAGCACAGTGGAAGGCCCCAGACACAGATGAGGAGTCCGCGGCCAGGACCAAGCCGGGGATCCAAGAAGGGATTCAGGTGCTCGGCAGCCTGTCCGCGGCCAGCCGCGCCAGGGCCAAAGCCAAAGACGAAGATTCTGATAAAATCCTGCGTCAGTTACTGGGGAAAGAAATCTCAGAAAATGTCTGCACCCAAGAGAAGCTGTCCTTGGAATTCCAGGATGCTCAGACTTCTAGAAATCCAAAGAAGATCCCGGCGGAGAAGAGGGAGCTGAAGTTGGCCAGGCTGAGACAGCTGATGCAGAGGTCTCTGAGTGAGTCCGACACAGACCCCACCAACCCTGAGGACCCCAAAAGCACCCCAGTGAGGAAGTCCGACAGGCCCAGGCCACAGCCCATCGTGGAGAGCGTGGAAGGCGCGGAGGGCACCGAGAGCTTGCACCTGATGATAAAGAAACACAGCTTGGCCTCGGGACGCAGGTTTCCTTTTGGTATCAAGGCCTCCAGATCCCTGGATGGCCACAGCCCTTCTCCCACCTCAGAGAGCTGCGAAGCGGACCTGGAATCCCAGTACCCAGGCCCCGGGAGCGCTCCTCCAAGCCAGGCCCCTGGAGACCCCACTCAGCCCAGCCCCGACAGCCCTGCAGCCCAGAAAGTGGCCACCAGTCCCAAGAGCGCCCTCAAGTCTCCATCTTCCAAGCGCCGGACATCTCAGAACTTGAAACTCAGAGTGACTTTTGAGGAGCCCGTGGTGCAGATGGAGCAAACAAGCCCTGACCCAAGTGGGGAGAGAGACAAAGACAGGGGCAGGACCCTCCCTCGGACCTCCCCGGGGAGCGAGTCCGGGGATCAGCTGAAAAGGCCTTTTGGGACCTTCCGGTCCATCATGGAGACACTAAGTGGCAACCAGAACAACAGTAATAACTACCAGGTGGCCAGCCAGCTGAAGACCTCAACCTTGCCCTTAACCTCGCTCGGAAGGAAGACGACAGATGCCAAGGGAAGCCCTGTGAGCTCTGCCGGCAAAGGAAAGAACAAGGCAGTGAGTGTCGGAGGGGAATCCCCTCCCTTCCCCCTTTGATGCTGATTGTGTCATCCCCAACACTGCAGATTGGGGGGGGGTGCCACCATGAAGGAACATCCCCCACCCCCAAACTCCCCAAGGGTGTATGGAACATCAAATTCATAGGTCTCTTTCAAGACATGGCACGTTGGCGTGCACACCCTTTGCTCTTCCTTTGGAAAACTCTGGAAGAGAGCAGAGGTAACTGAATCACAGATGATTTATCTCTGGCCCTAAATTTCCCATAAGTAGCTTGATCCCTGGGGGTCGGGGCTCCTAGACTGGGAGGCACTTCTTCAAGGTGAAACCACTCACGTGCAGAGTCAGGTCTTTCCTTGGCACAGATTCTGCCCCCAGGAGGAGTTTGTTCTCTTCGTGGGACTACATGGTTTATTCTCAAGGGCAACAAAAAAGAGCATAAATAGAAACTCCCTTGTTAAAGACCTTTAAGTAATCAACTTTGGAACACACCACAGGGACCTCAACATTGGCATTTTACAGCTCAGACCCCTAAGTGTTTGTTAGAGGCCACAGGAGTGAGGAGTGCATGCCAGGACGTGGGGGAAGGCAGAGTGTGCCATGAGCTACATTTTGCAATTGCTTTTATTGGGAGACCACGCTGTAGAGGCCAAGACTTACATCCTGTGAGCATCTTTTTAAGCAGTGTTTCCTGCATGCCCTGTGCTTGCCACATGGAGGAACAGTGTAGCAGTCCTAGGGAGCAGATGACTCAGGCCATCCACCCAGCAATTCAGATGAACCACCAGGGCAGTGTCACAATCTTCATAATTTAGAATTTGCTGTCACGTGAAAGTATTGTTACAGAGAGAGCTAAGAACTGTCCAGTCGTTTTCCACCATATCCAAATCAAGTTTTAGTTAGTGTCTCTCGAATTAATTGGATAGCGAAATTATCAATTTGCCCTTGCTGTAAAAGACTATAGCATGTATTTTTTTTCAGCTAGAAAAAGCACACTTGTGCCCCAAGACACCATACCTTTGAGGTTAAATAGATCCACCCTAAATCACTCGAATAAAACTTTCCAAGTGACTCAGTGGGTTCTGTCGCCCGGCAGTGGTAGAAGAATCATCTCCGCTGTGCTGTACGCTCCCTGCAGTGTGTGCTAAGTGGCTGCGCTCTCGTCTGTCTCGTGCATGTTCCATTTCTGTTGGGCCTGCGCATGTGCCGTCTGTTGCATGTTCTCAGATGATCTTTAATTGCACCTCTCTAGGGGCTGTTCGGCAGCTGCGTCAGTCTGTCCTCTAACACGCTGACCGAAGAGCACCTGCCTGGCTGTGCACGGTATGTGGTGCGGGAGGTGCCGTGTGCAGTGCTGTCACTGTGCTTTTGCTGTGAGTTGCATGAGCTGGTCCATGATGGACCTGGAGCACCTTTCGGCTGGGGAGGACACCCAGGAGAAGGAAAACGGTGCCGGTTGCCCCAGTAGCAGCAGGCGCAGGCTGGTGGCCAGGTCTTAGAGAAAGAGCTAGCTAGCTCTCTGTCGGCGGAATCGGCTCAGTTCTCAAGCTTGCCGTGTCTCCTGATTGCCTTTGGCTCTCAGACTTTGTGTTTTAGTGGAGTCAAGTACCAAGTAAGTATTGAAATTCAATTTCCTGCCCTGCGTGGAGTGAGTCACTCTCTGATCGGAATCAGAACTTTGAAACCGAGCTGGAGTTGTGTTTCAGTGCTGATTATAGCCTGGAAGTGCCTTCCGTCACCGTTCTGCTGATCTCAGGGGAAGCGGGGCCTTGACATTCTGAAATTGCCCGAGCTTGCTGTTAAGAGCCACAGTTTCAGCCCGTGAGCCGGTCTGAAAAGCGCTCACCAGTCACAGACTGGTTTTTCAGAGAGGAGGTTTGCAGTGCGTGGACTGAGCCCCTGAGGGCGAGAGGTCAGGTCCTCCATGATCAACAGGCACCTCCTTGGGCAAAGTCCTGTGGCAGCACTTGCAGCCCTGCTGTGCAGGTGCACAACTTCCCAGCAGGCAGGAAAGGGAGGAGGAGGAAGGAGCAGCTCTAGGGAGTTCACACAGCCACAGTCTCTGATTTTAGCTCTGAAACCCCCAGGCCCATCTGAAAGCAAGACTGATTTTTCAAAGATTTATTTTGTTTATTTGAAAGGCTGAGTTAGAGAAGGGGAGAGACAGAGATCTCACAGCTGTTGATTCACTCCCAAAATGGCCGCAACAACTACAGCTGATCCAGATGCCAGACGGAAGCCAGGAGCTTCATCAGGGTCTCCCACGTGGGTTCTGGGTCCTAAGCGCTTGAGCCAGCTTCTGCTGTTTTCCAAGGCTCATTAGCAGGGGGCTGGGTTGGAAGTGGAGCAGCCGAGACTTGAAGTAGCCCCCAGATGAGATAGTGGTGTTGCAGGCGGCAGCTTAATCCACTATAACATAGCACTAGCCCCCAAGACTGACATTTTTGGATCATCTAAATTAACTTAAAAGAATCCTGACATGCCATGTAGCACTCTTTCAGACCCACCAGCGCAAGCGAGCGAATTCCAGGTTCAGAATACCAAAGCATAAGAAAATCATCTCCCTCTGTGCTGCCTTTCTGTCAGATTCATCTGTGCTAGGTCTCTATTGAAGTTGGAGGGAAATCAAGTCTCAGTCTTTTTGAGGGGGTGTCCCTAGGGATCTCATTAATTCAGTAGCTGAAGGCAGAGCCTTGGAACTCCAGCGTTCCCTGGTACCTAATGGTCGGTGTGGGTCAGGCTCACATGTTGCCTGCACGGATGCTAGCCTCACTGGGTCAGGAGAGCTTGGCCAGTGCTGACAGCCCAAGGCTTGGAATGGGAAGGACATAGGAGAAAAATACCCATTCCCCTGCAGACATTGGAATGAGCCCACTGTTGTCTTACCCAACCAGGGTTCCCCAACCCCACGCTTTTTTCTGCCCCATCCTAAGATGGATGCGTGTTGTGGCGCCAGGCAGATTTTGCTCTTGTTCATAAGCAGCCATCACCAGCAACCCCCTGGGGCAGAGAAGCGCAAAGACCCAAGATGTGGCAAAGGCCCCGGGTGGGAAGGAGGAAACCTCTCATTTCTGCAAGGCCCCCGCAGCCACTGGGAACCAGACAGTGAGTATCCCAGCAGATTCTCCCACCAGAAATGGTTCATCGTATGCTTACAAGCCAGGAAGCAACACTGAGCAATAGGATTATAAAAACCCAAGCAGCCGGTGCCGCAGCTCACTAGGCTAATCCTCCGCCTTGCGGCGCTGGTGCTTGCATCCCGGTCGGGGTGCAGGATTCTGTCCTGGTTGCCCCTCTTCCAGGCCAGCTCTCTGCTGTGGCCCGGGAGTGCAGTGGAGGATGGCCCAAGTGCTTGGGAGACCAGGAGAAGCACCTGGCTCCTGCCATCGGATCAGCGCAGTGCGCCAGCCGCAGCGCGCCAGCCACGGCGGCCATTGGAGGGTGAACCAACGGCAAAGGAAGACCTTTCTCTCTGTCTCTCTCTCTCACTGTCCATTCTGCCTGTCAAAAAAAAAAAAAAAAGTTAAAAAAAATAAAAATAAAAACCCAAGCACAGAACAAGGTGGCGGGGCTGCTCAGACACGACGTGTGCTAACTCTTGCCCACTCAACTCAAGAGTAGCCATCCAAAGACCCACTTTCCAAGCGCTCAGATTCAACAGCTTCATGTAGTCACAGAGGTCAGCAGCAAGCACTTAGAAACCCCCAAAGTTAAAAATACTCAGTGTGTTTAGCTAAACCCCCGCCCCCTGCCCCCTACTGCTTTGTGAGTCAGCCTGTTCTCTATCACGGTTTTGGTTTGGCCTGAGTTTGCGTAGAAAGTGGGAACCCTGCTTCCTGCATGGCGGAGAGCACAGGGTTCTCTGGTGGCCTCATAGCCGCACAAAGGCCAGGGGACCTGGCCTGCTTCACTCCAGGGATGAAGCAGGGTGCTTCTCTCTGGGCAACGTGACGATGCCTCCCAGAAATTACGGCTGAAGGGGGTGTGGGCATGAGAAGCACCCGGTTGACTCTGATACCTACTGCGTTCTGCCCATGAACCCTACCATGAGAAAGAAAGGAGCCAAGTTTTCATCTCTCAGCGGTGGGACAAGTCTTGGGCCGCGAAGTTCCTTGAAGGCCAAATGCCTCTGTGAAGATGGCCAGGAAACTGATGGCAGTCGCTGTGTGTTGGAGTTGCCCAGCACAATGGACTCCCCTCCCCCCCCCCCCAGTTCAGAGATCCCCTGTAGTCGCATTTTAGGTCCGGAGAAACTTGTGTTTTCCCTGATAAAGAAAGAAAAGGGACAATGAGTATGATGTTTTAAAGAACATCAGCTCTGTGTGAGGGGGGCCTGTTGGCTGCTTATTTTTTCTAAATTGCTCACAGCTTGATAGCAAGAAATCTGAATTTTCTTGCAGTGCTCTTTAAGATTAGATTCTACCCTGTTTCTTTGAACAGCTTTCCTAGTGGGTGGCAGCTGCAGAAGATGACGTGGTGTGGAACAGGCAGAGTTATCTTTATATTTTCTTACCAAGAACCCATTGGTTTCAAATCATTACAACTCCAAGGGAATGCTTGCAATTACTAATCGTAAAATGCCAGCAGAACACCCATTTCCCAGAGTTTAAGGGTGTCTGGGATCTGTCTGTGCATTGATTCTGGTACTGACAGGCGGAGGGCTTCACCAGTACCCTTGACCCTGGCCACACTGGCACTGTTGCCTGAAGGATTAGCATTGGGCAGCCCTTATCCCAGAACCAGCATTAGAGGAGGCTCCTTATAACAAACATTAAGCAATAAACACCATTAGTGTGGCTTTTACTGCCAAGGAATTAACCACACCAGGAATTATCTATCTGGAGCCAAGAGCTAGCATTAGATAGTTGTGTCCAACAGCCACTTGAAAGGGACTGTTCTCTTTAGACCACAGTGATGTGATATCTGCTGTGCCCAGTGGAGGGTCAGAGGGGAGGGTGTCCTTCCACACTTCCCGCACCTACAAACCCACGTCCGTCCTCCCCATCAGCTCATCATCGTAAACAGAAATAGGAGCCATGAAGTAGGAGACACTGGGCAAGCAGAGGCGAAGTCGAGGCTGCAACCTACTCCCATCCAGCATGTCTTCACCAAGCACCCCTCCTCCACCACCAGTCAGCAGTCCGCACACAAAGCAGCCCCTGATCCTGCTGCACACAAGTGTCCTGGCCCCATTGCCCTGGAGACCGTCAGACAACCGCTTCTTCCTGAGTGTTTCTGCATTGTGTTTAGAACTCTGCCTGAGTCCTGTGGGGTGAGCACAGCCACAGGTGTGCAGCCAGGCTGTGTGGACTGCTCAGGGGAGGGCTGAGTCCCCCGGGGCAGCCTGAAGCCCACCCGTGTGACAGCTCAGACCCGTGTGCTGAAGGTGCAGAGAGGGCATTTAGTGACTCGGTTGGTGCTCAGCATTACAGACTTGAGAGTTTTTACCCAGAGACCACAGGGCCAAGTTCTAAGCACTGACACGAGGTATTGCTTTCTGCGTTTTCATTTCTGATACGTTGACAAAGAAGTCCAGGGCCAGCCGATGGGAGCTGCAAGGCAACAGCCAGATACAGAACCTGGGCCAGTTGCCCCTGCTCCAAAAGACCCTTGGGTCAAGCTGCACCCGGCCGCCACCTCTGCCTGACCTGGGCTGCTAATGAATTTCACAGAGGAAACCCTTACTTCATACTAAAGTTTGTGCCTGTGACTTGGCGTCTTGAACCATTTCTCTACAAGAGATTGAGTTTCCTCTTCAAACCGAGCCATAGTTTTGGGTCGCCATTGGCCATTGTTGGTGGAACTACAGGGGATTGCCTGCTAGCGAGATAGAATCTTGTGTATTGAGAACAATGTCCAAGTTGCAGGGCTCAGATCTGTCCGTAGCTAAGCACAAGTTAGCCAGCTCTCTGACAGAGAGTCCACGGGACTAAGGAAAGGATGGCTCCCAAGTGGGGTTTCCTCTCAGAGGCTCCTCACACACTCCGGGGAAGGAGGAGCAGGTCCACGCCAGGAAGACAGTGAGACAAAGCCTTGGGAAGGAAAACCCCATGTGGCCTCTTAAATCCCTGCTCTCAGGTCAGGACATGAACAGATGGAGCTTGTGAGCCCCCAGAGACCTTGGAGTCTGGAATCCTCCTCCAGCACGATGAGCCGAGCCCACGTGTGGTCAGAGAGCACAGGACAGGGCAACACGCTTCTGCGCTTCTGCCCTCCTCTTCTCACTCCCTCGAGGTCTGAGTGTGAACCCTGCAACCGCAGAGAGGCATGTAGTCTGTTGGTCCCAGGCTTGCACTGCAGGTCTGCTACCACTGGGGGCATCGTTGTACATGAAGAGAGCAGAACTTGAACCAGCGGGAGGCTTTACCCAGACAGTGCCTTCTCCAAGCAACACTGCTCCGTCCACAGTTGTTTCGCAGTTTTCTTCCTCCAAGTCTCCACGAGGGGACTTCAGTAAGTGCCTGGAAAAGTGAAGTTAAACGAGGTTGATTTTGGTGCAAAATACTTGCAATCTATATGGAGCTTTTTCATCATAGACATCTTCCAGGAACTTTTTGAAGACTTGTATAACTGCCTGCACAGCCTGAGCATCCGTTTTCAACAGCTCTAAGCCCAGCGCTGTGCTGTGCCTGCATAAGGCCTGATCTCTTCTGTCAAGGAGATCCTGAGAGAGAATTAAAAGGCTCCAGTTAAAACACGGTAAACTCCAAGAACACTCGAGAGTTCTGGGAGCATTGTGACCCTCGACAGCACCATTGTGCCCTGGTTTGTACGCTTCAGTATCTAGCGTGGCACCTGGCACTTGGCAGGGTTCAAACAAATACCTGGAGAGAGGCTAAGGTAGAGGAGGAAGAAGAGAGAGGAAAAAGCAAAGCTGTGTCAGCTCTTTCCGTCACAGGTCCACTGTGACGGATGAGTTTCAGTTTCGGTACTTTGAGCGCAGGCTTTCACGCTAACTACCAGAATCCCAGTGCTTTTCTTTTTAGTAGGTGGGATATGTGGCTGTGCTATCAGTGGACTTGCAGGAAATGACAGCCACAACAGGGTCTCCCTAGTTTGGCCATCAGCGGGAGTGGACTGCAGCTCTGGGCCGCTTCATGGCGACCCTGTGAATTGCTGCTTGGTCACCGTGAACTGGGGAGATACGGCGATGTGTGCCACCATGAGTCAGCAAGTTAGATTACTTGGAAAAGCGTTATTAAGTTCAAATCTTTTCTCCTTCCAATTTTGGTCATTCCAAATGTGATTATCCAAAAATGAAATCAAGGAGCAGCAAATTATCTGAATCCCAGATACCGTTGTTCCTTTGAATAGTAGTAATTCAGGACTGGGTAGGTGGTAAGTTCCGGAAGGTTAAACTGTCTGGGTGTTCTTCAGATCAGTGCCTCGAGTGAACGTTTGCCTTGGTGTAGACCGACCCGCTGATCATGCGGAGTTGTGTTCTGCAGAAACAGAGTTCTTCCTGGTGCTCTTGGCCTCAGCACCCCTACTGTAAAGCAGAAATGCCCGTAGAAATCTAAACTGTATTATCTTCAGGCTGTGACCTAAGCCTGTTTGTTGTTTTTGTTTTCAATTTTATCAAAGTGGTGTAGCTTCATGTAATAGTAACACTAGCCTTAAAGCAGAAACTGCTGTCTCTGGGCCCGACCCACCCCATTCCCCTGAGCCAATCGCTGGGTTTTTCTCTCGGGTGATTTTTCTAGTATTCTCCATCTCTGAACACCATGCTCCCCCCAACATCCAGTTTCAGATTTACTCGTTGTTTATTGGCTCCTACTATCGAAGATAAAAAATAGTGATAGAATTTATAGTATCCCAGAGAACACTCCAGCATCTCAACATGTTTATTATTTTAATCTTGATAGTAACTATGCAGCATACTTTTATTATCCAAATTTGGCATATTGCAAACAGCATAGATGAATGTAAATCCTGCCCCAGATTGCACAGTAATGATGGTGATAAACTAGGGAGCGAAGATTTGAACTCAGTCTGGCTTAAAAAGATGTATTTTTAACAGTGAACCAAATTTATCAAGCTGTAGTCAGCTTCCAGCACTGGGTGTCTGCACATACTTGCAGTCACTGCCGCCAACCCCCTTCCCCTGATAGTATAGTTGGTGGTTGGATCACTTTTGGGGGTTAAATCAGGGCTTGTTTCTATCATAGCTTTCTAAATATTAATCACAGGGGCCGGCGCCGCGGCTCACTAGGCTAATCCTCTGCCTTGCGGCGCCGGCACACCGGGTTCTAGTCCCGGTCGGGGCGCCGGATTCTGTCCCGGTTGCCCCTCTTCCAGGCCAGCTCTCTGCTGTGGCCAGGGAGTGCAGTGGAGGATGGCCCAAGTGCTTGGGCCCTGTACCCCATGGGAGACCAGGAGAAGCACCTGGCTCCTGCCATTGGATCAGCGCGGTGCGCTGGCCGCAGTGCGCCAACCGCAGCAGCCATTGGAGGGTGAACCAACGGCAAAGGAAGACCTTTCTCTCTGTCTCTCTCTTTCACTGTCCACTCTGCCTGTCAAAAAAAAATTTAATAATTAACAAAAAATTAAAAAAAAATATTAATCACAGGGAATCCATGTGGTCCCATATTAAATTTCCTTTCTCATGTAAGTTTGTGTTTCCCCTGGCAATAATTTGATGTCTTGGTTCACCATTCATTTCTAAATGTTTGTTCTTGTCTGTTGAAGATATAAGCCACCTTTTGATGCGTTCAGATAGCACCAGTGCCTCTTCATTTCTCCCTGTGTATGGAGGGTCTCTGTGTCCTGGCCCAGGCTGCGTGGCTGTTGGCCGGCACGGGACACCACTGGCATCCTGGAATCTGCCATTGACAGTGCCCTGAGAACTCCTTTTATTTCTCTCCCTTTGAGACTTAGTTTCTGCACTTGATTTTCCCTTCTTTTGGTTTCTTCTGCATTGGTAAACACATCTGCTCACCAAGGTCAGTAGGTGCTAAGTTTTTCAAGAACTTGAATATCTGAAAATACCTTCAGTTTACTGCATTAGGAGTGTGTGGATGGGATGGGTGAGTGTGTGGATGGGCGTTCTAGGAGGGAATTTCTCCCTCTCGGCATCGGGGCCACGTTGCTCCATTCCCTTTGCTTCCTGGTTGTCTGTAAGAAACCCATTCCTCTCGGATTGCTGACCCCTTGGAAGCGTGTATAATTTTATCTTCCTCAGTAGTTTGATTTCGTGTCACTTTACCTGTGGATCTGTGCCACTTTGCCTGTGGGTCTGTGTTCATTCCTGGGCTGTGGACACCCAGTAGGCATTTAAAATCTGTAGTCCTGTGTGCTTGAATTCTGGAAGGTGCAGAATTCCTTTGAAAATCTTCCCTTGTCCGGTTCCACGTGCTTCCCTCCTGGAAATCCTCTTACCTCTGCTGTTGGCTACACTGATCCTGAGATTTTCTCTCTACTTCCCCTGCTACCCCCACGTTTGCTCTTTCTCGTTCTACAGTGTAGGCTATGTACTGAAATTTACCTGCCACTCTTGCTTTTAAATTTTTTCTGTAGGAATAGAATTTATTTCCAATAGCAGGTTACGATTTTCCTCATGGTTCCTTTCTGTGTGCTGTTAGACATGCACATATCATTTAACGGTTTACAATTAAATACAAATTGTATTTTTTGCTCCCTGTTTATAATAAAACTGATATACTTGTTTTTGTTTTTGTTTTTGTTTTTTCACGTAACATGTTGGGCGCCTTTGTGTATTCGTATGTAGAGAGCTTTTTGGTTCTTTTCCGTAATTACCGTGGTCTTCAGAAGTGCGTGTTGTTCCTCTTTCCTGTGCCTTCATACAAGTTTGCTGACGGGAAGACTAGGTTTCTATTTTTTCTGCTCTGCTAAACCAGTTCCAACTGCCCATCTGCCTTCCCGTTGCTGAATAAATAATACTGTTGGCGCCTTGTCCACTATCGTCTCCTCGTCTGTTTGCCTCATTCATGTAGGGTGGATGCTTCTTAAAGTTTATGGACTTTCATTTTAGTGTTGGGTTGCATGCACCAAGATAAATGTGTGTAATTGGAAGTCTCTAGAACATATTTTGGCCAGCAAGGGTTTTCTTTCACCTTCTTCCCTTTCCCTTTCTCGCATGTAGACAGCTCTGTGAAGTTTTATTCAGAGGGATAAATAGAATTAAGAATTATAACTTCCAGATGATGATGATGATCCAGTATGATCTAGAACACTGAGAGAACAGGCCCCTGGTCTGGGGGAGCAAGTACAACTGCGATGCCCTAGAAACCTTGCCTTTGCTTCTCCTGCCACCCTACGAGGCTTCATGGTGTTGCCAGAGACAGATTTTTGCCTTGCAGAACGGCAGGAAGGGGTGTAGTAATAGGCAGCCCTGCCCGCTCTCAGGAGATGCCTCCTCTTTGGAAGATTTTATACCCAGAATGGGGCTAAGATGAACATGAACGCACCTTCCCGGGGAAAGCACAGTTGTCCTGTGGCCCCTGAGTGCCCTCCTTCACCACAGACTTAAGGTATCGGGGTGGAGGGCAAAGTAGCACTATTGCTCACGACTTCTTTTTCCCAAAGATGTCCCCACTGCTGATCTCCCACCATGCCACTCCTCAGTAACTGCCCACCCAAAGGACAAGTGCTCTTACCTTTTAAAACTCAAGCTTACTGGAGAATAAAAAGTGTTTACCAGTAAATCCATGTAAAAATAAATAAAACGCTCTTGTTGCTACTCAACCAGAAGTTCTATACGTCCTTGTTTGCCTCTGATAAATGCATTTGACTGTAGAGATGCCCAGGTTCCAGTCATTATGACTGAGAAAGCCCTGCCGGAGCCAAAGAAAGTGTTCAGTCATTGTGTGTTAGGAGTATTGTATGACCGTCGCCTTTATTGTTTAAAGAGTGGTTTATGTGAAAACAGAGTAATTTGCCTGTTGGAATGAAGTGTTCCTCAGTGTGGTTTGCATGTGGATAATTTCCATTTTTGGTGAGATGTTCAGTGGTGGTGTCTTGTAACTTGACCCTGGTTTTATCTAATTCTGGCCTGTGGTTTTGCTTCTCCTTAGGCCTAATGACATCAGTAGAAAAATGAAGAAATCCTACAGCATAAAGCACATTGCTGAGCCAGAGCCAGAAGAACTCTTCTTGTAAATCCCTTTTTCCAACCCTCTCACCGATGCCCGTGGGACACCATTGGAAATTACCGGACCTAGAACCACAAGACGCCACCTCACCAGCAGAAGAACACAATATCAGGATGCCTTAAATTTATAGTACTAGACTGTAGAAGATACATTTTGGGTGATAAATGTATATAAACTTGTTTTTAAAGAGATGCTGTTTAAAAGCACGATTGGGCAACTGTTTTTTAACATTGGATGGAGCCAGCCAACACGCAGGACACTGACCAAGCCATGCCACTTTGTGTTTGAGTTGCATGCGTGTCTGCTGACGTTTGGCTGAACTTCCCTTCCCCCTAACGCTCAGTTCCTCAGCGAGGCCAGGTCAGTGGTACTGTTTTCTGTCAACCGTGTTTTCTCTGTCATTTCTACTTTTTGTATAAAGGAAATAAAACAATGTTAACAGCCACCTATAAGCTTGGGGCATCTACTTTCTAACAAATCTGTGATGTCTGATGTCTAAGGGACTTTGAAAGTGTTTTGATTGCTGATATTTGATTTCAGGAACAAACTTCCCAGTTCAGTGTTTTCCCAAAGGGGTCAAATAAAACATTCTATATTTCATGAAGTACTAAAGAACCAGACAAGTATATAAAGTAAGTCAGCTCCTTCTGCCTTCTCAAGTCTCAGCATTGACATGGGAAAATGCTAATGACAACGAAGGACTGAGCCCCGCATGCGTCCCTGTTTGCTGCTGCTGACACATTATGAAGCCTGTCTAATCCCAGTAGGAGACAGTGTGGAGCCCAGGTTCATAAGGGCCTTATTGTTGACGCAGCTTTTTCAATCCAAGTCAAGCACCCAGTTCCAGAGGTTTTTATTTTTTTCCTATCATGAAAAAATATATTTCTGTTGAAACAACAGGAGTTTTATGTTCAAAGTGTTGGCATGGCCTGTAAGAGACCTTTCAAGTTTTAGTTTGAAAGTAGAATGCAGTCTTACCAGTAGGAGGGGGCACCATGTGCTGCCACAGTTGCTGGCGGCGTTACTGCAGCTTAATGTGGGTCAAGTTACTGAATTTGGAGATGATCTTGCATATGTGGGTCATCCGACAAGCTTGGGCTTGGTGAGCTGCAATGCAATATGGTAGGATTTAATATTCAAGTACCTTTTATGTATGAGACACTAGTATGTGGTGATAATATGACTTGTTTCATGGATTAGAGAATTGAACCTCAGAAAGCTTAAGCCCTGTGTGCAAGGTAACATTGCTTGTGAGTGGCGGCATCAGGCTCTGATGGAGATCTGCTGGTTGTCCCCTGGGCTGTCTACCCTGTGGCTCCCACACTGCTCTCTATCCATGGTGCACGGTCGCTGCACTAGCACACAGGAAGCATGAGCGCTGGTGTTGCCTCCACTTCTGGACGCCTCTTTGGTCTTGAACGTGGGACGTTGCCTCCTTGGGACGTTGGCAGGAGGGCAAGATTGGCTTGCGTACGCTTCCAGGAGGTAGGTTCCTTCCAACTTGGAGAGCAGCCATCTGAGTGTGCTCAGTCCGCTTTGGGGTCCTGTCTGTTGCTGTTGTCAGACCCTGGTGCTCTGCGTCAGCGTTCCTCATGCTGTCTCTTCCTCAAGGGAGGTGCCCTGTCTCTGAGTTTGGCCCCTTAACCTCCCCTGCCCGCTGTGGGTGCGCCCTCACAATTCACTGCTCTGTCCTAGTGCTCGAGATCTGATGGAGAATTTATGGCAAGTATGAGTGAGTGTGTGAGTGAGTGTGAATGTGTGTGAGTGTGTGTGTGAGTATATGTGTGTGTGAGTGCATGTGTGTGAGTGTGTGTGTGAGTGTGTGTGTGAGTGTGTGTGTACAGAGTCCTGTGTTTGCTGCTTGTGCGGAGGAGTTGACCCTGGAGTCCACAGTGAGCCAGCCTGTGAGTCCCGACCCAGAGAGGAGCTTGCTCAGAAGGGTGAAGGGACTGAGCAGTGTGCAGAGACCTGGTAAGCCAGAGTTCCCAGGTAAGCACAGCACAGGAAACCTCAAGGGTTTGAAAGAAAAGACGCTGCCTTGGTCTGGAAAACTGGCCACTCCATTCACTCCATTATTCACTCGAACCTTCAGTTCTGCAGTATTAAGAGCAAAGACAAAAATGGCAAATGTAGCAGATTGAGCCTGGGCAGGATGGGAGACAGTGCATTCTCTGTTTAATGATGTTGCTAGGACCCTGTAGACAGCAGCCCTTAAACCACACGTGAACCCATCTGTACTGTCCAGGTTCCTTCGGAAGTGCATCAGTTAGGCTCCTTGAAATTAGTACAAATGATGCGTTCTACAAACTTGACTTTGTGCAGCATTTGGTCAATGAAAACACTGACCCTAGTATTCCTGTAGAAAGTGAGGCACATTTACATGTTTAAGAATGAGGGAGTAAGCTTCCTTCTAGTAAGTGGAATTTTGTGGCCCCTGTCCCCACTCCCTCCCCATGGGCTAGTAAAATGAGTGAGCTCCGTCTGACTGCACACAGGGAATGCAGCTCCACTGTAAAAAAAAAAAAAAGTCACAGCATCTGTCAGCGTCTCTGAAAGACTGGCTTCTTTGATATCTCTAAAGAGACTGCTGTTGCCAAAGATCAGCTCATCCAATTAAGAATGTTTTTTAGAAAAGATAACAAGATACCAACCCGTCACCACTTTGAATGGATTGAATTCCCATTATTTATTCTCCTAAAACATTTATATCAAGGCTTCAGCCCTAATAAAAATGATTCTGAGTGTACATCACAGGGTTGGAAGTGGAGTAAGATGCTCTGAGCAAATCCAGGAAGGCTTGGAGACTTTTTGCTCTCTCCCAGTGAATAATCTTAACCAACGTGATGGCGTAGGTTAGAGGAAATGGCTGTACAATAAACATTTGATTCCCGAAGAGTTCTTGATACAAAATGGGTTCCATGTCCGTTCTTCAGTGCCCACCTCTTTGCTTAATGCTGAGTTAAGTGGATGAAGTGAGATCAGAATAAGGAGTTCATTGCAACAGTACTGGTACCCTTCCCCCGTAAAAATGGGTTTCCCACTGTGCACTGCTCATGGCTCTCAGCTGTTGACAGATCTGCATGGGTAGCCCCTGTTATCTCTAGCATATTTCCCTTTATTCTTTATGGCAGTGTTTTATATAACTTCTCAAGCAAGCACCTGATTCCAGTCTGCTAACGAGAGGGTAAGTTTGTGCATTTCAGCAGATCTTTGGAACATGTCTCATAGATGGTGGCTGCCTAACACCTACCGACAGTTGTTTTCAGCACCCTTACCTCCACCTCGGCTTTCTTCTCATCTGTTCCCCATTCTCTCCATTCCTCCCTCATCCTCCTCTGTCTCTGCTTTCCTCCTTCCCCTTGCTCTCTCCTGGCCCTCTTTGTTGTCATCTTGCTTCCTGTTTTCCTGTTTGCAAGATCCCTGAGCCCTGGATGGAGGATCCTCTTTGGAAGACACTCAGCAGAATGAGCCAGACCCGGTCATAAGATGGAAAAAGTAAGTTGCCTCTCTCTTCTCACCAAGCATCTTTCTGTTTGCTGGTGGGTTCAGCCACCTGTGACTGAGGCCAGGCCAAGAACCGGGCCCTGTGCTAGGCCCGTACTTGAATTAGAAAGACCCAGAAGTTGGTATCAGCCGTCTCGGGGGCTGACAAAGACAGAGAGCTCTACCAACATTCCACTCTTTCTTTCATGAGGTCAGCTTTTTTAGCTTCCACATGTGAGTGAGAACATGCAGTGTCCGTCTCTCTGCCTGGCTTATTCCACTCAGCATTGTGTCCTCCACGTCCATCCATGTTGCTGCGAATGACAGGATCTGGGTCTTCTCTATGGCTAATGTTCCGTTGTGTAGCTATATTACATTTCTGTACCAATTCCTCTGCCATTGGGTACTTAGGTTGATACTGCCTTGGCTCTTTGTATGTGAATTCCCAGTGTGTAACAAGTTTTAAAACCAGCACTTTGCTAACCCACAGGGTGGCCAAACTGTTAAGTTGGCATCAGTGGGGAGCTTGTTAGAACTGCGGCCTCCAGTTGTAATCCGGCGGTGCTGCAAGCTGTTGGGATGAGATTGACAGGAAAGGACCCTGTGTTTAGTGTGCTCCTCACCCTGGAGTAGGGTGTAGAGAAGAGGCCACTGAAGTTTCAGACAGTGTGTGATGCGTGTGTCATTTGAGAGTCATATTCAATGCTATAATTTTGTATGTGGGGAATTTTTAAATCTTTAATTACAGAAAGTGAGGTTGCATTTCTAGAGGGGTTTGGGGAAGATGGAGTAGTAATTTTTCCATGCAAAATGAGATCATTGGATATTCATGTTCATAGAAATGGGGCTAGGTCTTGAACTACTCTGAAATATTTCTCTCCTTTTCCTAAAATATGTTTATGGAAGTCAAATCACCTGCAGGTTCTCCCTCTGGCAGTGGCTTAACCAAGACAGAAGAGAGAGATTGGACCATCGCCCAGTGCCAGTCCCCAACCACAACTGTAGCTGCTCTCTATGGAAGGCCTTGGAGAGACTTGAGCTGTAAGGTACTGAGTTGTGGGTCAGATGTGTTCCCTTCTTCACACAGCATGGGCACACCTTGAGTTCCTGCTGTGTGCACTGCTCTGTCCTAGGTGACAGCAACAAATGAGAGGAAATGAGTGTGTAAGTGCTTGTGATGGGACGTGGCAAGTCTGAGTAAAATAGGTCTTCCTGGCCGGTGCCGCAGCTCACTAGGCTAATCCTCCACCTTGCGGCGCCGGCACACCAGGTTCTAGTCCTGGTCGGGGCGCCGGATTCTGTCCCGGTTGCCCCTCTTCCAGGCCAGCTCTCTGCTGTGGCCAGGGAGTGCAGTGGAGGAAGGCCCAAGTGCTTGGGCCCTGCACCCCATGGGAGACCAGGATAAGTACCTGGCTCCTGCCTTTGGATCAGCGCAGTGCGCCAGCCGCAGCGTGCCGGCCGCGGCAGCCATTGGAGGGCATCACTTGGGATTCATAAATAATATTCATAAATAATATTTATGAAACACAAAGCCAAGCTCTTCCCAAGTGCAGGCATCACTTGGGAAGAGCTGGGCTTTGTGTTTCGTAAATATTATTTTCTCTAAGGAAATTGTCCTCACGGTTGTTCAGCCAACTAGGAAGCATGGAAAAATAAGTTCAGCCCTATTTTTTGTGGTAGAAAATCCGAGTTGGTCTGGCCAATGACAGGGAGGTAGGATTCACAGAGAGGGGCTGGAGGAAGCTCCATGGAGGAAGCAGCTTCGCTGGCACTCAGCTTTTGTCCTTGAACTTCGCCTTCTTCCTCTGTAGCCCTGAGGACCAGAGTCATGTGTCAGAACACAGTCAGAGGGCAGGGGCAAGGAACCTGACTTCCCCAGCTGCTGCACAGGCTCTGAGTTGTATGTACCCCATGTCACTTGCAGGATAAAACCAGCTCTCCCCAGTCTCTGATATGTGGCAT